CACCTCCTGACTGGGTCGAGTCATTTGGGGATGAGGGGAGGGCAGTGAAACACAGGTGGCGAATTCCAGACGGCACACCTGGCAGGGCTGATCCCCATCAACCTCACGTTGCCAGACTGTTGGGATCCAAGGCTGTAAAGGGGCCATGATAGGCGGGAATCAACAGGTAAAGCTTCTTTCCAGCTCTGTATTTCTGACTGCCGGGTGCAGGGCGTTTCATTTCCTCGTATCCTCTTGCCTACCTGTTGAAGGTGCTGATCCTTATTCCACCTACAGAGGCAGCAAGGTTGCTCCCTTTAGGAGAATTTATTCTTGCCAGGAAATTACGGTAAAAGAAGTCGAGCCAAATGGGATATGGCCGAGTCTTGCAATCAGGAAAGCCATCCTGTCCGTGGAAGCAGCGCTGCTTTCTTCCGGGCACGGCACCTTTCCTCAGAGCTGCTTGAAGGCCTTTCAGTGTTGGGGTGATTTGGGTAGAAGTTCAACACACCTGGTGGGTCCTGGCCTTGCAGAAGGCTCAGATAAAGCGTGAGGAAATCGGGCGCCCATCTTGGCTGACTGAACTTGACCATCTCTTGCAGGCCTATCAGAAATGGGTGCGGGAGCACGGCCCCGAAAACCCGCTCCTCTGGCTCAAGTACACCCACGAGCAACTTTTCTTCATCGCTTTCGCCCAGGTAATGCCGCCATGCTCAGGAACACTCTTGCCAGGGGTTCTCCTGCTTTTGAGTCTACAGCATAAACCTCCTCTCCACTCTCTTAGGACGGAGAAGCAAGCTCAGCCCAACTGGTGTACCCCAGGTTTGTAGGACTGCAACCCCCATCATTCCCTGCCACCCCAGCCCATTGGCATTCTGGAGATGATGGGAGTTGAAGTCAAACACACTCGCAGGGGGAATAAATTGCAGGAGGCTGACTTGCAGTGGCGAACGCTGGCATCTGACATGGAGGAAATGTGTGTGTCATAATAAACCCAAATTCAAACACATGCCCATTCGGTTCCATTTCCGTCCCTGGCATAGCGGATGCCCAAGTAATTAAGGGATGCGAGTGGGTGAGTTTTTGCGATCACATTGCTCAACTTTACCTTCCCAGCATCCCAGATGTGATGTCATTCTGTGGCATGGCAGTCAGTGGATGGAGGTCTCTGGTCGCCAAAGGGCAGCCAGCCATGGTGGGTGCCATGCCCTTCCACGAAGCCCTGAAATAACACAGTCGGGGCATTCTGGGAAAACAAAATGGCCCCCCTCCAAGATCAGTCCTGTTGTTGCCTCTGCTGCAGGCAACACCAAACAGCGACGTAAAATCATTCTCAAAGAAGCAACGATGAGCCAGATAAACGCATGATTTCGATGGAGGGACGTATGAGAATGCAATAAGACAGAAATGAATGGGATCGTCTGGAGAGAGAGAAAGAGTAACGCTCGTCTCACCGGCCTTTCCCTTGCCGAACATCCTTGCAATACCCAGGAGGGGATATTGCAGCCCTAGGGAGGGGTTCGAACCGGCTGCCGCATCCCTCAGAGTTGCTTGGGCAAAGTGGGGTTCCAGGGACCCCCAGCGCCCAGAGCCATGGGCCAGCCTCTCTCATGCCCCTGCCCGGCAGACCCTGCCCCTTTCTAGCGTCTCCCTCCTTCAACCACAGGAGGTGGTTGAGGCCCCATCGGTGCAGGTGTTCAAGGATAGGCTGGACATGCTCATGGTGGGCATGTTGTGAGCGGAGCCGGCTGGAGCCGGGGGTCAGACTAGATGGCCCGGGAGGCCCCTTCTGACTCGCGCTGTTTCTATGTTTCTCCTTGCAGAACTGGTGTATCAAGCGGCGCTCGCAGTCCATCTACCTGCAGGTGCTCACGGACAAGCATGCCCCTGAACACTACAGGTACCGGGGGGTGGGGGGAGGTGGCATCAGACTTGACTTTGAGGGAGGGTCCACAACAGGGACACAACTCCCACGAGGAGCATCACTTCAGGAGACGTCACACTCCTGGGAGAAAGGAGCTGGGCATTGTGTGTGCTTGGCACCCCGTCCTGCTGTTCCACAGTCCTGCAGGACAACCTCCCCGTCTCCTTGGGAGCCACCCTAAAGGGCCATTCCCATGTGTTCCTTCCCCCGGCATTCTCCGAACCGCCCCACATGTGTTAAGGTCCAGGGATAGAACCAACGGAGTCCTTTGCAGAAGGGCAAAGATGTGGAATAAAGCGGCCTCTGCAACTTGAGGCTCACCCGGAGTGTTGGAATACAGCTCCCAGCATCCCCCAGCACTTCCCATTTCCTAACAGTCTGAGATCATGGGAAGAAAAAAGCATCAAGGCATGCTTGATGCCTGCCATGGCAGCTTGGAGGTTCCGCAGAAACTCTGGGAACGTAAATTTGAGGTGTCTCCATGCTATCACGCCATTTCCAGGAGCAAGGTGCAGCCCCAGAATATGAAAATGTGAGGAAAGGGTGGCCTTAAGCATGTGCAAAATGCCTTCCCCTCTTGCTACTGAGCCTCACCAGGAGGAATCAGGCCATCCTAGGATGAAGATGCTTTGCACATGCAGCCATGGGAGAACCCAGGAATCCTCCCGTTTCGCAAACTGTGTCCAGGTTCCCCCCCTATTTCTGTGCCCCTTTCTCTCGCTCTTTTGCAGGGTCCTGGGCAGCGTCTCACAGTTTGAGGAGTTCGGCCGGGTGTTCCACTGTCCGAAGAACTCGCCCATGAACCCGGCTCATAAATGCTCTGTCTGGTGAAATGCACCCCGCCCGGTCCCCTCCTCAGCCTCACGCAGGTCCCTCTCCTTGCCCGCTGCCCGGCTGGGAGAGCTGGCGGAGACAGCCCTGCCCTTCCACGGCGGTCCCGCTCCAGCCCTCTTCCCAGAGACGGACGTGCACATGGGCAGGCCTGAGTAAGGGCCCAGAGGGCATCTGGGGCAGCCCCAGGTACGACCTTGGAACAGGGCTCCCCTCCCACACACGACTCAGACCCCTTCCCCGTGCGTGTATCGCCTCCTGACTCACGAAAGAAAATGTTTCTATTTTAATTCTGAAAGTACATTCATGGCATTTCTGAAACTGCGCGCACACATCCATTTTGCTCTTTTCCTTTATCATCACATCCGGCCTGAAGAAGAGTCTGACAACGCTTGCTGATGTATTTTGTAACTTTTGGGTTGTCCCTAATATTGATGCCTGTTGATGCTTTGATATTTAAAATTCTGGTGGACCAACGCAGCTGCAAACATTTTATAAATAGACCAATTCACTTCAAAGCTTTATTTTTCTGGCCTCGATCATTGCAAAATCACAAATTTTCTCCCAGTAGTCAATACGAAGGAATGCAAATGTGAACTGCCAGCCCCACAGGCTCTGGGCTCAACTCCCCCAATTTTTAGGATGTTTTGTCCCACCCACAGCTGCCTCTCCTTCTAGCCTGTGTCCCAAGGGATTTGGAGTGCGGACATTCTTAAGAGAGCATGTCCCACGCAGGGAAGCAAAAACCTCTCTGCCTTGCAGATGACCAGCCCTGACTGAACCACACGGACAGGTACTTGCCCTGTCCAGCGGAAGGGCCGGCAGCTCACTTGTTCATTCCAGCACTGTTCCTTGGTCGCTCCCGGCAAATTTCTCAAGATCTGGGCCACAAGTCCATCGAGACAGGGAAGCCAATCCCCATGAGACTCTGTTTCTCCACTCGGTGTAACTGGGTTTCCACATTCCCTGCAGCCTCTGGGCCTCCGGGAAAGGTTACGCTTGGCCCCTCTCTGCAGGCGAGGCACTGGCCCCTCTCGAAGGTCCCACTGGCACTACCACCGCCTGGGCAAACACTGGGCGCACACCTGGGTCTTTATTTGGGGGTACAGCAGCTTCGCCAAGGAGCTGCGTGGGGCGCACCGCCCCAGCAAGCTGGCACTTTAAGGCCTGGGTTATTAATTTCTGCGCCACCAATAGCCAGAGCTCTTTGCATGCTTTACAAAACATAAACTTACGATCTAAAAGTATGAACAGCATTAAAACAACATGCAAAATTTAAAACCAAATTAAAACACACATAAAAACTACAGCGGCCTGTGCAAATTGATCAAACGGCCTGTTCCAGCAGCTGGAATGAAGTCCCCCAAGCAATAGCGGTGATAAAGGGCAGTCTTAACCTGTCACTGAAAGGACACTAAAGTTGGTGCCAGGCAATGGTGCCACAAGCGAGGAAAGCCTCGGGGCCACGGAGTGCCCGGCCAGAAAGCCTTATCTGGGCTGTCTCTGAAATGGGTCCAGCTTGTGGCTTGCAGTTGCAAAGAGCTCCATGCTTGCCCCTGAGGTCCATCCGGGTGGTCCACGGCCCAGCCGGCCCCCTCCCCCTGGGCTAGGGTAGCACCAATGCCAGGCAGCCCTGCTCCGGGAAGCAACGAAGGCAGGTAGGTCATGCCCAGTCCCCCTCCTGCCCCCTAATTCCCCCTGACACAAGCGCACCCACTTGTGGCGAGCAGGTGGCACCGTTCAAGCGTCGGATGTTTGTGGCTCTCGGTACGCAAACATTGCGCTGTATTTTTCTGCTGCTGATTGCAATGAATTAAAAGGCCAGAGTCATTTTGTCTGCATGGGCAAAAGGGCGCAATTCATTAGCTGGGCCTAATTAACCACCCCCTCCCCATTTCTCGGGGCTGGAGGCCGCGGCACCCCTGGCCTTCAAATCCCAGTTCGAGTGCAACCCCTCGCACGGCTTGCAGAAGTTGCAGGGGCTCAGCCGTTGGCGGCTGTGCCAGGACAAGGAGACCGTCAGCAAAGATGCCTGCCTGACCCCCCTGCGGTGCAGGGGGGGCCTCTTCGGGGGTGGGGGGAAGGACCTGGAGGGCTTGCCCAGGCCTGGCTCGCAGCAAGATGGAAGGCCTGGGCCTCGACTCAGCAGCCCGCGTTGTGAAGGAGCTGTTCCGCACAGTCAGTGGGAGCGTCGCCCGATTCCAGGCGGCCGCGTGGTGGCGGAGGAGGAGCGCGATGCACCCGGGGTTGCCCGGGGGGGTGGGGGCTAGCAAGCCCAAAGGAGCACGGAGGCCAGGAGGAGCAGTGCGAAGGAAGGGCTGGCCAGGCTGGCTGAGTCCCCTTCAGAGGGGCGCTGCTGCTCATGGGGGAGGCCGCAGTCCTCGTAAGGCTCCAGGCAGGCCGCGAACGCCATGCTGTGCGCGATGTACGTCTGCTCCTGCACCCCGTGGAAGAGGTGCGCCATGGGGCCCTTGGCCAGGATGGCCACATCCTCCCCCCCGTGGGTTTCCGATACGAGGGGCACGGCGGCTTGCTGGTGGTAGTTGTCGCCCTCTGGGGAGAGGAGAAGAGGCAGAGTGTGGTGCTAGCCTGCCAGCCGTCCCCCAGCCCTCCCCCCACTGCACCCCAGCGGCCTCGGGGCAACGCAGCTTGCGCCACCCGCGGAGCGTGGCCTGGGGTGCTGGCTCTTCCCAGGGTCAGCCACAGCTCAGATGAGGGCATGGGGTGGCATCCCTCTCGGGCCCTGACCTTTCCCACCCCCTCCCGGCTGCTAAATGCCCCTCCGTGACTGCGATACAGTCTTTTGGTTCTTCCTTTGAACCCTCCACCCCACAAACTGATCACCACCCCGCGTCTTCCCGCTTGCGCCTCTCTCGAAGGGGGCGACTGGATGCGTGTTCATCAAAAAGGGGCTGGGACATGCTAGGAACCGCAGCCCTTTGCCGTCTGAGCAGGATCCTGCCTCAAGGGTTCTTCTAGGCACGAAACGGCTCACACGACCACTCAAACTGCCACATGATGTGCTTCTAATCACCGCTGCTTCAGATTTTTAAGTGGCACAAAATAGGACCCGGACAAGTGGAAGGCCACGTCATCCAGCCTCGTTTCAGAGACCTGCAACCCCTTACGGGCTTGTTCTGGTGGTGGTTTTGCAGTTTATGGCCTGCTTCATCGAATGCACAGGGTATCATGCAGTTCCAGGTGTGGTTGTCATTTCGTGCATTTCCTTTCTTTCTATTGGAAAGTTTTAAAATCCACAGCACCCTAAGTACTGGCTGCATTCAGACAACACAATCACCTGAGTCTCAACCCGTGAATATGTTGTCTGAACCCGATTACTCCATATAAAACTGAAAGTCTCTATAATACCCTAGGCATTCAGTGAAGTGGGATATAGCCCACCAAAGCTGGAATAAATTTGCTAGCCTTTCAGGTACAACCAGATCCTTTGTGGTTTTTGTAGACTGTGGTAGCTAAACAGGGCTGCCATTCCCCTTCATAAAATTCTGGGGATGAGGCAATGAAAAACTTGAGCGACCATCCATCTGGCCTAGCCAAAAAGTATGCAGTTTGCCTCCCTTAGCAGCCAGTGCTGAGCACAGCTTTCTGTCCACACCTTACTTAAGGAATTCTCCTTTCCATTCTAGAACAGGTCAAGGGCCAGCAGGTGGTCAGCTGCTTCCAGCATCACACCTGTGCCTGCAGGTTAAGTCCTCTGCGGGCCGTATCCCAGCATGTGGTGCCATTTTTGGAAGATTAAGTGCACAAGGGGACTAAACTCCAGCAGGCTGAGTTTGGAGGCCATTTCTGGCTCACCTTGCATAGGATATCGCCCTAACTTCTAACTACCCCGCGATGTTTCTCTGTCAAAGCCCACAGTGTAAACCCACCCTCCAAGAAATTCACTATGGAACTAATAGGGAGAGAGAGCATGTCAAAGAAAGTCCCAGTGGGGGTTTGAGGTCAGTATTTACTTTAAAGTAGCAATGGGGGAGGCATCTTAAACTTTTGATCAAAGCAACTTTTGATCAAAGCAATGGCAGAGGGAGGTTTTGACTCATTCCACAGCTCTGTTTTCTGCCAGCTTTTTGTTCTGCAGCAGAGCAAAAAAGATCTTTTGAATCATGCCTGGATTGTCTTTCCGGCAAGGACTGAGAGCAGCACTGGGTTGGGGCACCAGGGGTGTTTTATGGGGATCGTTAGCTCAGGAAACAGTGGATGGGTTAAATACCCCCCCCCCCGCAGCCCACAGCAGAGCCCCTACAGCTGCTGGAGAGTTTTAACACCCCCTGCCGCCCGCAGCGGTGAGAAATGCCAGGAGAGTCGCCATCCACCAGCGCCGCTTTCTTACCGCTCTCTTCGGCGTTCACGCTGGGGCGGCTCTGGTTGCCCAGCTGGAAGCCTGGCCCGTTCCCGTACACGATGGACGTGTATGTCTTATTGTCGATCGCGAGGCTGGGGGCCAATCCTGTGGAGGGAGGCGGGAGGCGGTTTTGAGCAGGGACCCGGGTTCTCTGCTGCCCCTTCCAAAAGCCACGCTCTCGGAAGGCACTGCCTCCTTTTGTGGCTGCTGGGTGGCTTCCTCACTCTAAATGCCTCTCCGAAGACTTAGCAAGCCATGCAAAGAACTTCCGCCTAAACGTCGCTGGGATTTTCAGTATCCTGGCTCCAGCCCTTTGGGCTTCAGCCCGGCCCTCGAGAGCATCGGAGACTGGATTTGGCCCTCAGGCGGAGAGGAGTCAACACTGCTGGTCAAAAGGGACCTACAACAGCTGGACGCCGAGCCAACGCCGAGCCTTTGTCCCCACTGGCCAGGCCCTCCCACAGAGCAGTGCCCCGGATCGGCCACGCAGGAAATTTTCTTCGCAGGAGACTGACTCTGCACCATTCCCCCTCGCCCTCGGAGGCCCTCCAGCACCTGAAGAAGGTGCATCCTCGCGGCAGGGGCCTGCCCTTATCTCGGGAATTTGCAGCTGAGCACGGCCCTCCCACTGCGGAGCCCCACACGAGATCTCAGCCCTCCTGTGTGCTGGCATCCGAGCCCACCAACCCCCCCTGCTCCCCGGTGTGCATCAACCCCCTCCGGTACCAAAGATGGAGGTGCCCCGCAGCGTGTAGCCCCCGAAGCTGAAGACGTGGGAGTGGTCGGCAGAAATCACGCTCAGCGTGTCGGTCTCGTTGGTCAGCTCCCCAGCCCTTTGGATGGCTCTGTCGAACTCCACGGCCTCAGTGAGAGCCCGCTTGGCGATGCCGTCGTGGTGCCCAAGGTCGATCTTGCCTCGTGCAGAGAAGAGGGTGACTTAGACTTCCTGTTTGGTGAGTGGCTGCACCACCGGTGGTGGAAGTTGAGCAGCGGAGCCCCCGCCGCGAACCCACGTGCCTCCCCCCAGCTTGCCCGTTCACTCCATAGGATTCATTCCCTTCCACACAGTACAGCCCCCCTTCTATCTGTCCCCCTCCCTGAACTGCTCAGAAATTTTGGGCCCTGCGTGGGTGTGGGTCACGGGGACCTAGCAGCGGGAAGAGACGGAAGGAAGGGGCTACACCCTCCTCCCAGCCAGCGTGCAGGCCTGAAAACTCCCAGGGCCCAACCCGACTTATCTTCCACAAAGAGGTAGAAGCCCTTGGGGTTGCGGCGAAGGATTTTGATGGCAGATGCCGTCATCTCAGCCAAGGATGGGTCAGTGACATTATTCCGATTCAGGTCATATTTCATATCCCCAGGTTCAAAGAGCCCTAGGGAGAGCAGGGGAAGAACAGTCGCAAGTGCCTTCTGGGAAAAGGGTGGGCAGAGGCGTGTCAGGGTGAGTGCGGTGGCGGTTCTAATGTCCATGGGGCGGTGTATCCACTCTGGGTTTCAGTTTGCACTTGGACTTGCCCCACAGAGAGGTACTTGCAGGTCAGACTGAAACTTGGAGTATATACCAATCCCACTCCACGGCTCATGACCCAAGCGAGTGGAAGACAGACGGCCTGCATAGCACCCTGGAAGGGCCAGCCCAGAACAGGGGTCCTAGCAAGCGCTACAGCTTTCCTTGGACTGTACCATTTCACACGATGGGTGGGATTAGTGGGTGGAGAGAGCTGCTTGTCTGAAGGCTTCACCTTAAAACCTTTCACCACAAGCTGCAGAGAGGAGTCCACACTCACACACACAGTGTGTGTGTGTGTGTGTGTCAAAGGGAAACATCCATATTTGCCCTCCCGCCCCCCTGAGATCAGCAGCAGAGGCCCTCCTCCGGGAGCCCTCTGTGAAGGATATTAGGAGGGTGAGTACCCGGAGGAGGGCCTTCTCTGTGGTGGCACCCCATCTATGGAACGTGTTCCCCAGGGAGGTCTGCCTGATGCCATCGTTATTTGTTTTTCGGCGCCAGGCCAAGACCTTTTTATTCCAGCAATATTTTAATAACTTTTAATATTGGTTCTTATATGTTTTTAACTGCAGCCAGTGTGGATCTGTAATTCATTTGTGCTATGTTTTATATTATTTTATCTATGTAAGCCATCCTGAGGCCTTCGCAACAGGATGGCATATAAATATTCTAAATAAATAAATAGGAGAATAAGCCCCTGTATTCTTGATGGTACAGTCCAGCAAGTCCTTACCACTTGATCCTCCTGTAGGTAGAAACTGATCTTAAAGGCATTCTGAGAAATGCATGCTTGAGTAAGACCATCCCTGGATACAACCAGGAGGCAGAGAGAAATCGGAATGCGTTACCCATGAGGCGGCTCACGCTGGGGTCATCGGCAGCCTGCAACAGCTCCGTTCGGTTCCAGACGTACTTGGCGCCCTGGGAAGAAACCCAGACACGGGTGTGTTGAGAGGGTGTCCACGCCAGAGATGTAACTCATGGGGGACGACACGGGGAGCGCTGGAAGGCGTCTTATATCGCACTGGATCTAACATGCACTGTTATGTTGGCTCTGGCTGGAAACTGCTTTGCACCATTTTCAGCGAAGACGCTTCCATTTCAACCTCACCCTGTTAATGGGAGAAGCCATGGCTTGAAACTGTGACTTTTGGCGTGCCAATTGCTGCTGTTGTGGTTGCTGCTATCCCTCCTCTGCTGGGGGAGGGTGGTTTTGTGCAACCTCCAGATCTCATCACAGTTGCCCCTTTGGGCCTCCCCATTGACCTGCGGTGGTGGAACTGTAATGCTGGGTGAGCCATTGTGCATTGATTGGGCTTCCTGCAAAGGGGTGGGGGGGTCTGTTAAAATGGGGGGAGGGCTGGCACTGCTGCAGAGATGACATTCTTTCCTCCCCCACCCCCACCCCAGGCTTCCTTGTTCCCTCTGCGCTCAGCTGCAGTCCTCAAAGTAGCCGGAGGGATTGCAATGCGAAGCTTTTGGGGATAGCTTGGTCCTGAACGGGCAATCGCAGCCCATTTGCTTGACAAAAGATGCGCTCCCCGTGGACATGCAAGTGGCTAGAGCTGGTCCGTGAGTTTGGATCCGCGCGGCTTCTGCATTTTGGGGCTCTTCTCTGGGTCCCGTCCATCAGATCTGCCGCGAGGAGTCCCTGCGCGTCTGCATTCAGCCCTGCAGCACTGAAGCACTCAGATGCGTTACGGGTGATTCCACATGCTCTGCACCCTGCGTGACACGGTACCCCCGTCGCCCCATCATCTCGAGGGGCCCACCACAGGTTGGGACCGAGCCGAGCAGGATCCGTCCCTGCAGCACTCGTGGTCTTCCTTTCCTGCCTGGCCTGGGCTTGCAAAGCCGGCGGAGCCGAGAGGACGCCCCCCAACACCGGCGGGACGAAGGCTGCGCAACGCGGGACCTGCCTCCACGTCACGTGCAGTGGCACAGAGGGCGCTGTGGGGAGCTGGGGGGAGAGACGAGGCTCCATTTTGGGCAAGCCCCCCGTGGCCTCTAGCAGCACCCCCGTCTGGGTTTCTGCGCCAGGGTGAGCAAGGGACCCCGCTTGCCCAATGCTTCGACTCAGTTTCTGCCATGCACCCCAAAAATGCTGTGCGCATGTGCCAGGACCTCGGCTGGCAAAGCAGACTGGAGTCCAGGGAGAGGGGCCCGGGGCTGCAGCGCGTTCCTGCCCTCAGGCAGGGCCCTCACGCTTCCCCAGCCCACAATTCGAAATGGAAAAGTGCATTTGCATGCGAAGCTTCACTTACCGTGGAAGAGCCAAGCCACTGGGCGATGAGGTCCTGTTTGTCTTTGCGGATGCCTCTCTGGAAGGCACTGGTGGGATATTCGGGGTCCGGCGTGCCTGCCGGAGTCATGTACTTCCGGCCACCCCCCAGGATCACCTGCGGGGAAGTGAGATGTCGCCATGAGAATGGCGTGTGAGCGCACGCAGCAAAGGGGCACATGCGCTTGGGCCGCATAAGTAAATGCAGGCTCCACACCCTCCCTCGGCAGACGAAAAGGAAGGAAGGGGCCGCACAGGGGTCCCTGGTGAGGAGGAAGTGAGGTTGCCAAAGGCCAGGAAAACCCCCTGGCTGGCTGCTTAGCAGAGCCGCCATAGAATCCCCCTTGCTTCCTGTTAAATAACTGAGCCGGTTATTCCGTGTCCTGCACTCTGGGGTCATGGAGGAGAGAACCTGGCCTGCCTCTCCGGCCAGCCTTTCAAGGACTTGCTGAGTGCTATCGTATCTCCCCTCCGTCTTCTCTTCTCCAGGCTAAACATGCCCAATTCTGTCCGTCACTCCTCACACGGCCTTGCTTCCTGCCCCCGGACCCTCCTTGTCGCCCTCCTCTGGACCCTTCCCAGCTCATCTGCACCTTGCTTCAATGGTGGTGCCCAGGACTGGGCACAGGACCCCAGATGAGGCCTGATCAGAGGGTGACTAGAACGTCACATGATTCAGAAGCGATACTTCTATCAACACAGCCCAGAGCAGCATTTGCCCTTTTCGCAGCCACGTCACGCTGTCGACGCGTGTTCAGCTGTGATCCACGGCGCTTCCTAGCTGCTCTCCCTCGCAGGACAGCTGAGCCAAGCACTCCCCATCTTGCGGTCACGCACTTGGCCTCTTTTTCCTGGGTGCAGAACTTGGCATTGTCCCTAGTGAATCCCTTTTGATCATTTCCAGCCCAGTGCCGCAACCTGTCCAGAGCACCGTGGATCTTCCTTCTGTCTTCCAGGGCTCTCTTAGGGCCAGAGTGCAGTCCGAGGAACAGAGCGGGGCCGCTCTGGGCACCTACCGTGAGGTTGACGTTCCGGATGAGCTGTTGAGCGATGTCCTTGCAGCCTTCTGTAATCGCTGCTGCCGGCATGTCAGCATCAGAGTACCAGTTCCGGTTCACCACGTGGGCGTAGGTCCCAGCCGGTGAGGCATGCTGGACCCGTGTGGTCGTCACAATCCCCACGGATTTTCCTGGAACAGGGGGAGGGGATCAGAGGAGAGGCAGCGCCCGAGCTGGACACACAGGCAGGAGAACCCAGCGAGAACTGGCACTCAGAGCCTGTTTTCCTCTGATCTGACATTTGCTGCAAGAAATCAGGTGGAAGGCAGTGCCTCTGGGCAGGTGCAGAGTGCCTTCCCTCAGCACTTAAGGCAGCCTGCTGTCTAGGCAGTTAGGAGCCAAGTTCAGAAGGCCGGTGTCAGGATGCGTCCTTCCTTCCATAGTTCTGGGATGACGGGATCATAGCAGTAAGACCTAAGTCTTGGAAGACATTTCCTGAAGCACCAGGAAAAACGTGGAATGGGAGGGGCACCGTCTTGTCCTTTGGCTCAGGCAGCAAAAGCCGTCCAGATGTCCCTGGGGGAGACCCTAAATCCTCCCTGTGCCTCCCTGTAGGGCCAGTCCAGGGATTGGGGTGAGTGTAAGGGAACCACATGAATGGGCAAAGCTACCACAAAGCCTCCAAGGCCAACTGACCCGCAACAGCTGCAGCAAGGACAGACACGCCTCTTTCTATGCTGCCCTTTTTGAGCATGGTGGGCCCACCCCAAACTTTCCCTGTCTGTCCCCTAGACCTGGAGGGCTGCCCTCCACAGGCGCTCCCCAGGGGCCTCGGCCAAGAGGTGAGCCAGGTGCTCGGATTCGCCTGTCTCCGCCCCCTGGAGGCTCACCTGCTCGCTGGGCCCTCTGTAGGACGGACACCACTTCGTTGCCCATGGTGGTGTTGCACTCATTGTACCGGGCAGCCGCGCTGAGCCCGATGGTCTGATAGTTGCCCTTCACCCCACAGAGATAAGCGGTGGCGGTGCCGGCGCTATCAGGCACCTGCCGGTCCACGTTGTAGGTCTGCCGGAAAGAAGGGGGATTCAGGTGGGGGGGCGGCCCAAAAGACGCCTCTCCTGGGCTCTCAGGCTGGCCCTGCGGGGGCAGGAAGGGGGGCGGGACGGCCCTGGTCCTACTATTACAGGCCAGGAGAAGCCAGCACTCCTGGGTTCCTCAGGGGACAGCAGAGGCTGGCGATGTTCCCGTCTGCAGGGCGCCTCTGAGCTTTATGGGCGCTTTCCATGGTGCTGAAGTCCACCCCCAAAATGGGTGTGCCACCATGCTTAGTGCCTGTAAAGTTCAGAATAAAAGCCGCGATGGCTCAGGAACCCCGTTGGCATGGCGGTCCCCAGCCTTCACCATCAGAGGGCTGTGCTTCTTTCCCTGGACTGCCAATTGCCTGGTGACTTCCTCAGTCTTGGCATGCGGCCCCAGAGACCCTCCCCCTAAGGGAAGAAGAAGGTCCTCATCCTGATCCATTGTGTCAGAGGAGGGCAGGAAGGCATTTCCAGAAGTCCAAAACAGGGTGGACGGTGCACGGGAAAGGCAGGGACCGTCCTGCCAATCTTGCGATCATTCCATGCAAACAGTTTGGATCTTGACAGTGAATGCAGGACTGAGCACTCCAGAACTATAAGCTATTTCTTCTTTAAGTAAGTTTCCAGTCCTCATGGTCTTCAAGCAGGGATAGAAACTTCCTGCCTGTGGAGGTTTCCAACTGGTCCTCCACCGTGCCTCTGGGCTTTGCTTTGGCAAAAGGCAGGGATCCAAATGTGTGAAACTTTTTCACACACAAGGACAGGACAGGTTTATGAAGCTCCGCCTGGCCCTGGAAGGCAGGGCCTTCACCTCACAATGGTCTAGCCACTTGGGCAGGCGCTTCCCCTAGCTACGGTCTAAACTCCTTTTGAGGTGAACTGCTAGGCACTGGGCCCAAGAGCTTTATGCCTGCACCATGGGATGGCTTTTCTCCAACTGGAGTTGAATTACTGCCTCCTGAGCCTTTGGGAGTGGAAAGGAGCTTTCTTGGTGGGGCTCGGGGTGGAGATGGAGATGGGATTTGTGGCCGGTAAGCGTTGTTCAGAAACCCCCCAGCCCAGCACAGGCGGCAGCCCCAATTCAGCACCTTGGAGAGAGCCACGAAGGGGAAGGAGTCCATGACCAGCGGCGTCTCAGGGCCGAGGTGGCCCTGCATCTGCCCCTTCAGGATGCGTGTCGCGGTGATGGTGGGAATGCCCATGCCTGCCAAGGAAACAGAGGCCGTTGGCGAACATCCCGATCCCAGTGCTCGGCCCGCTGTGCCCAGACCGTGACCCTCCAGGCCCCGCCTACCGATGCAAGTGGCCCAGAGATGGTGAGCTTAAGGGGGGCCACAAAAAAGCCACAGGCAGTGGACATGAGGCCTTCGAGCATGTTAAGATAGCCCTTTCCTGGCCCAGGAATCTTGGGTATATCGAGCTGTCTGTCCTGAGAAATAGCTTGCCCAGGAGAGATGGGAAGAGACCAGTGGGCTCTTGGATTGCCTGGGTCGGCTGCTGAAAGGAGACGGGGGGATCCAGGCCTGTGTTCTGGTCTTGCTAGACTGAGGGGGGCCACGCTGGTCCTGGGTGTGGCTGGCCGCATTGGTGTGCTCAGTTGTGCTCACACACAGTCAAGGGTAGGAACAGACACAGGGTTCAGACAACATGTTAAGCGGCACTCAAGTGTTGAGTTGCTGAAACATGGGTGTTCTTGCTGTCTGAACTCCGCTGTGCTAATCTGCCATGGTTGCTAACCATGGTGTTCAAAGATAGGCTGGACATGCACTTGGCGGGCGTGTCGTGAGCGGAGCCGGCTGGAGCCGGGGGTCAGACTAGATGGCCCACGAGACCCCTTCTGACTCGCTCTGTTTCTGTGTTTCGGTTTCTAACCACAAACCACCCACACAGAGAATCCATGGGTTGTGGTTGGGGTTGTTCACCATGGTTTGGTATCTTGGCTGGATTCGGATGTCACACAAACACTCATTTCAATATCAAGCAACAGTTCCGCAAGGAACCTCACACAACCCACGTTCAGCCCTTGCGTGGGTGGAACCCAGACCCTGAGTGCTGGTCGAACGAGACTGAACTGTGTTATGCTTCAGGCCAGGGGCAATCACTGTCCAAAAAAGACGGATTCACGGGGGAAGGGAGCCCGGGGGGTTCTCTGTCCACAGGGCCTCAGTGACCTGGTACTGGCACTGGGCACACCCACGCTGCAGCGTGGGCTTTCCACGGGGGAAGTCCTGTGGCAGAGGAAGCTCAGCAGATGCTCTGCCACTCACCATCTCCCAGGAAGAGGATGAGGTTCTTGGCTCGGTAGTGCAGGAGGTTGAGCTTCAGGGTGTCCTGGATGGCTTTGGAGGCCTGCCGGTTCCAGAACGCCGGGTCCTCCTCCTCCACTGGAAGAACAGAAAAGCGGCAAGGAGAGATTAAGAAGGGCGGGCCTGCAGAGTCCACATTTCCCAGCTGCCACAGCTCCCTGCATGTGGCTGGTGAGCGAGATGGGACACGCTGTCCTGAAATGCGAAGCCCGGCCAAATCAGGAATGAGCGGAAGATGTGGCAGGATCGCCCGACAAACCTATGGGCAACCTGCAAGGACATCAACAATGGGTCCTCTCTCCCCATTGTTTAACAATAGCAAATAAAACTGAAAGTTAAATAGCAACAACAACTCCTACTCCTCCTCTCTGCTTTGAAGGACCTTGGACTAACCGATGAGCTCTTGGCCCCAGCGTTCCTTCCCTGCATTATTTGCTTGCCTTTGACTGGGTCTTTGGAATCCTCTGAACCTCTGACCTGTCGTAAATCAGTGGTGACTGGCATTACTAAGCACAGCGCATGCCTCGTGAGCCAAGTTCAGCAATGATGAGGCCTGCTTTTTCTTGCTGAAACCATACGGCGCTGCTGGGCTATCATGTGGCTGATCTGATGCCAGCACACGCTCAAGTCACACTCACTGTGGGTTATCCTGCTGTTCAGACCCAAGTGCCGCAATTACTTGTTTTGATTAGCACATTCCAGGTCTGTCGTCCAAAGAGCAAAGTACCGCCTACAGGTCCACCACCCATCACCCCGATACACACGGGGATTCTTTGCATAAAGTCTAGGAACTCGGATCCCTGGATCATAGAATCACAGAACAGTAGAGCTGGAAGGGGCCAGAGGGCCCTCAGGTCCAACCGCCTGCTGTGGCAGGACTCCCAGTTAAACCGTTCCTCTCGGATGGCTGTCCAGCTGCATCTTGGATGCCTCCAGTGTGGGAGAGCCCAGCACCTCCCTGGGTCAAGGGTCCCATTGCCATATAGCTCTGACAAGGAGAAAGTTCTTCCTGATGTCCATCCAGAACCCTCCTCTTGAAATATTCAGGGTCCAGAGAATAAAAAAGCAACTGAACAAATTTGATCTGGCAGTCCCCCAGTGTATGAGGCTGTCCAGCTGCCAGGCTTCCAAATATATTGGACCACAATTCCCATCATTTCCACTGGCCAGGGCCAATGGCAGACACCAGGCTGGGAAGGCTGACCTCACATGCCAAGCTGGAGGCAGAGTCCTGGACCTTGGATCCATTCAGGCATAGCTGTATTTTTATTAAGTTAAGGAGATGGAATGCTGAACCTTGATAGCTTCCTCTTAAGCAGCCCTTGTTAGTAAACTCAGCAGAGATTAGGGGATTCTCACAAGGTCTCAAAGTTGTTTATTGCATGGTTCATGGTGGGTCTGTTAACCACTTTCAGCCTAAGTGCCAAGTTCTACTGTGCGGAAAGAGGAATTCAAGCTGGGAAGAGTTCAGAGAGGGGCAACACGGAAGATCCAGGGACCGGAGGCAAAGCCCCATGAGGGGAAGTGGAAAGAGCTGGGCATGTTGAGCTTTGAGAAGAGGAGACTGAAGGGAGAGATGATGGCACACTGCAAGCACTTAACCGGTTGTTCCACGGAGCAGGTCCAGGATCTCTTCTGGACCACCCAGAGAGCAGACATGGAATAATGGGTCACCTCCCGATCCACCGTTTAAATGCTTCTACTCCACATGGGCCTTGAAGCCCCTCTGTAAGTGTTAACCCCATCAAGTCTTCCAGGCACCTCAGGAAGTTGTGGGGTTCAATTCTGACTGAGAAAAGGTGGCGAGGGTGGCTGGAACACCTGAGGTTTTAAGGGCATGGCAGACCGAGCGAGCTGGGAATGTTCTGAATAACCCCAAAAGCTGTTCTGAAACAGTGGGAACAGTTCCGTGGGTGTAATACTTACAGGTGGGCTTGAAGGCCCATGTGGGGTCTGAAACCATCTGGCATCAGTCCCCTGCCCATGGGCTGCTTTATTCGCTGGAGCCTGCTGGACGCTTGCCAGTACGGCGTGGCTCTATAATAGCCACTGTTTGTGGAAAGGCTTGCAGGTTTTTCTGCCGTGGCTGCAAGGTTGTGGGGGGGGGGGGGTAGGATCAGAACTCAGAGCCCCCTCGTGAGGGCATAGCAAATTCTGAACTGGCTTATGGTCCTGACATTCTCCCTGTGGTTGTACTTCCATTTTAAGACTTTTAAGCATGGGATGGTATAGAAAAGTTTTAAATAAAATAAAATAATAAATAATTACAGCATGCCGCCAGCAAGTCTGGAACTTTTACATGGCATGTGTTTAAGAGAGGTCTCTGCCCCAATGAGTCTACACTTACAATTCATGCCAGGAAGAGAGACAAAGGGAAAAAGTGACCAAGAATGGAGTAGGAATGTAGGATTCAGCTGCTTTGAACTGTTCTTTAGTTGGGGAAGGAAAACACGACATGAGAAATCCCAGAGAGAAAACAAGACAGAGAAGTTCACCAAACAGCAAATAATGAACTGACAACTTGTTTTGAAATGAGCCCGGTTGCTTCAAAGCCACCGTTGCTGCCCCATTGGAAAAGGGGTTGGGGTTGGGGTTCAGAGATGAAGCTGCTAAGAACTGAATTCTGGGGAAACTTTCTTCTCCGAGTCTTTGCCTGGGTGGACTGAGTGCGGGTTGTTATTCAGCCATGGGCTGTTGCTGAAACTTGGATTATTTTGTGGTCTGAAGTAGCTGGGATAACAAATCACAGTGAACAACCCCAAGTTTGTAACCCAGCAGGAAGCCATGGCTTCTCTTGATAGGTACTTCATAGTTAACAAGCCATGGCTTGCTAGCAGAACTGCGTTCAGGCAACACAATAACCCGTGTTTCAACACCAACCCATGGTTCAATGGCAACCCACACTCAACCCACAAGTGTGGATTCTTGTGTTGTCTAGACACTGAGAATCATGAAGAGATTCCAGTGACCTTCTAACCATCAACACATCAGGGAAGGTGATTAAGCAAAAGCATGTTCAGAAAAAAGCCGTAATAATTATTTGTCCGTGTGCATCTCTGCATCTGTGTGTCTTACATGTATGTCATTTATAATTAGCTGTCATTTTTAATGACCAGTACACAGATGCTCTGTTTGTTTTCACTCTCTGTTCTTACTTTGCGAGCACACAATGTTATTTAGAAGAAATCTCCATGACTCCAAGATACTTCTTGACACTTGCCATCTTTCTCCCGAAACTGCCTCAAAAGTTGCACTACGTACAACCTTTTTGATTTCATTCTTCAGCCGCTAGATGAATATCCCTTTATGAAAAAGAACCTTTCCTTTTCCACCAAACCTGACAATATTTAAGAATGTCCAGCTGTCAGCACCATCACACCCATGCCTGAAACCTCTCTGGAGTTAGTCTTTCATAGAATCATAGAAGAGTAGAGTTGGAAGGGGCCATGAAGGCCATCCAGTCCACCCCCTGCTGTTGCAAGACACCAAATCACACCATCCCACTCAGATGACCATCCAGTTTCTTTCTGAATGTCTCAAGTGTGGGAGAGCCCCCCACCTCTCCAGGCAGCTGGTCCCACTGTTGTATCGAATGGGAGGCTTTAGCGTTTTAGAGACTCTTTGGAATGGTGAACTTCCTGCCGATCACCTATATTTGGCTTCCAGGACCATTAAACTATCCTGGTACTCCAGCCACCTTGTCTGCTTTCATCCCAAAAGCTATTTTTTTTTCCTATCCTAGATGAGCCTGGCTTGACATCCTTCAAAAATATTAATATTTTCCTTAGAACAAAGAAAAACAATTATAATTTTAATTTGCTGCACTGAGAATAGATTCCAGCAGAATCAATAAACAGAATCAATGTTTCTTTGAAATTGCTATTTTCTTTCATTAGCCTGCATAGACTGAGACGTTGAAGGCGCATTGCTCTGAGGTAGCAGCTTAGATTTAGTGAGGTTGTTTCCTTGATTCTGCAAAAATGCTCAGTTGTCTTGCAAAGCGCTCGGCTTTGACGGATAAGAGCAGTGCAGAAAAAACTAGACCTATTTGTCAGTGTCACACCTGATAAAGCTTCAGAGCAGGTAGAACCTGTCCAAGTTTTTCCAGCAACCTCGCGATTAGGAAGATGAATAGAAAGCAGGAGGGAAGGAACAAGCTGCCCACCATCGCTGCTAAAATTTGATGATCTGAACTCCATGATTGTGAGCAATGCACAATAGCATCGCTTCTGTTCCTCCAGGGCATGGCAGACTCTAAGGGAGAACCACTCTTTCCCCCGACTTGAGTGGAAGAGCACAGGAGGGGCTATAAGCCGCTGAATCAGCTGTTCTGTGCAGGATTATGGAGCAGGGAGGTGGGGCACCCCCAAAATGCCCCTTGAGGATCCCCAACATTCCTGAGCATGGTCCTCCTTCAACCCCAGCCCCCAGCGTCTCTGTTTGTGTCCATCTGCCAAGCTCAGGTGCCGGCCCCATGCAATGAGGCACAGAAGTGACTTCTACCGCCCCGCTGCCGCTTCCCAACGTACCTGGGATGATGGCCCCAGTGAAAGCCAGGCCCAGCAAGAGCCCAAAGCCCGGTAGCCACATGGCTGCCAAGAAGGCAGAGCTGCTCCGGGATGTGAGAAAGGAATGCTGGCGCGCCATGGCTTATAAGGCCCAGGCCCAGAGGGACTTTGGACACCCTGATAGTGACAAACCGGAGTGAGCGTGTCGGTCCCACCCTTCTTGCCCCACGCAGGGCGATCGGAACGGTTTGCACCAGGAAATGTTCTCTGTTTGCACAGGTCCATGGAAGCGTGGCTGATGCCCAGGTGCCAGCTGGACCAGCTCCCCAGGGACTGATAACAGCCCCCCAAAACCTGCAGTTGTCAAGGATTAACAGCAATGCCAATACGGGGATTTGGTGGGTTGCTTCATTTGTGGATTTATCATGCATAGCTTATTTTCCCCTCAGGCCTGCTTTTGACTTTTCCTTTTAAACAAGCATCCAAAAATTTTGCAAGTTGTAATAAATGCAAAGAAGCCATCTTGGAGGGCACTCGCTCCTCGGGTTGCCATGAGTTGGCGATGACTTGATGGCACACAACAAAAATGCATTCATTATGTGAATGAGCTGTTTGTTGTTTGCCTTTCATCTGCAAATATTAAGTCTGTTCCTTTAGACTTATTGAGGATAAATTTGCTCTTGGATTTATTTTGTGTTGAGTCGGTTTGATTGGTTGTGGAAAAGGAATCTGACCCAATCCTGACCCACATCTAAGGGCACTGCATGGACTGGGAATGGGTAAGGACCATGGAGTCACAGAGTGAAATTTAATGCCATGGGAAGTCGTGGCAGTTGCCAATTTGGGCGGCTTTAAAAGGGACTGGACACATTCCTGTGGAGAATAGCCCAGATCTCACTGCCCTTACACAAGTATTGGGTTGTGCACTTGGAACAGCATTCCTAGTTCTGGTGGAGGCCACTGAGAGGCGTGCCTGCACACGCCAGCTGCTGAGGAGCTTGGGAAGGAGGAGGTCTCGCAGCCTTCCCACTGGAGGGATCCTGAGGGCAGCTGGGTTGCCACCGTGTGACTGGCCTGGACGGCCCCTGGTCTGATCCAACCCGGCTTTTCTTACGTTCCCAGAAAGTGATCCATGGCAACTAGTCCGGAAGGCTGTGTGCTGCCTCCAGTATCCGGTGCTGTGCCTGCATGCGTCGCGGGAACCAGGGTGGTCAGTGGCTAGGGATGTATGTCTGGGACAAGCCGGGTTCACGTTCCATACGGTCAACTAGGGGACGGGCCAGTCACGACTCAGCCGAATCCACCTCACAAGGTTGTTGTTGTGGGGATAAGATTGAGAGCAGGAGGAGGAGGAGGATATAAGCTGCTTTGAGGGTTTTTTTTTTTAAGGCAGCATATAAATCTAATAAATAAAATAAAAATCAGTTGCTAGATGGGGGAGCGCTTACACTTATGCCACACTTTTGCGTTTCTCTGGCCGGCTGGTCCCACCGGCCATGGTTTGGACAGAAAGCCGCCTTGACGGGCCCTTGGTCTCATCCAGCTCTCGAGGCAGCGCTCACACGGCACCCCATGGCAACAGCCCGGGCTACGGGCCGCAGGTGGGTCGTGCGGCATTCAGGCCCATCCTCCAGCCACTGCAGGTTGCCTGTAGCTTGCTCAACCCGTGGCTGGCCTACCGGGCCATCTTCGAACCTCACGTGCCAAACACCAGCTGGACCACTCAAGGGCTCAAGATCCCAACGGCCACAGAACATCCCTGGAATGCACCACGGCAAAGCACGGGTTAATCAACCCACAGTGTGGGCTAAGGAGCCCACAGTTTGTGCGACTGAATCCCGGATTTGCAAACCGGGCCAGGGTTTGCACTCAGAGCTTGGCTGTCTCCAGTCGCCTACCAGCAGCTCTCAAAGCCTTCCTAAGAAAGATCCTGTTATTTTTGGCAAGCGCAAGAGAGAGCGCTCTGTTTCCCGGAGAGCTTGTGCCTGGGGAAAGGGACAACTTGTCCATCTTGTCCCTGTTGCCACGATGTTCCGCGCAGCACACAGGATCCTGGCAAGAGGGTCTCTTCCTGCAGCTTAGAGGCTTAACGCAGCTGGACGCAGTCACTGGCACTGGGTGTTCTCAGCTGACTTACTCATATTCATGTCCACCTTGACACGGTTTAAAGGGGCCCATCTCTGCCTGGGGAGGTGGCCAAGGGCCGTCTGGCAAACACCTGCGTTTCGGCAGTCACCCCTTCATGGTGGCATCAAGGAGAGAAGGGCGAACCAGGCAGGCCAGCAAAAGGCAGCTGCCCGGCCTGGAAGTAGGCGGGAGCGGCCAGCAAGGCTCTCACCCCCACAAGCCCCTGTCCCACCCACTGGGGCCAGCAGATTCTGCCTCAAGGTAGGGCTGGCCCTGGGCAAGGAGCCCATAAGGTGCCACCAGGGAGATGGGGCAAGAGGAGCCGTAGGGGAGCCCCCCCGCCTCCTGACCCACCAGAACCTGCCACCTGCGGTCACAGCCTCACTTGCCTTCACGGAAAGGCCGGCGCTGCAGCAAGGCAAGCTTAGCGAGTGGACCCTGGCCTCGGGCGCCCAGTGTGGCCAAGCGGCGAGAGTGCTGGACTGCGGAAATCCAGGTCCTATTCCCTGCTCAGCCGTGAAGCTCGCTGGGGGACTTTGGCCAGCCACGGACTCTCAGCCTGACCTACCTCGGAGGGTCGTTGCTGTGACAATACACTGGGAAGGAGGAAAAGCTTGCGAGGAGCTTGGGCTCCTGGCAGGAAGAAAGCTGGGGGATTAATGCCGTGTCTTAAGAGTAACTCATCAGGTTCTTCCGCTGCCTTCCTCTGGAATCCAGGCAGGGTCAGACAGCCAGAAATCAAATATCCACTACTTTATGGGCATAAAGGAAACAACCTTTTGGTTTATTCTCTGAAAGCTGCAGGCAAAGGAAAACATATATGTACAATTATATGCAGGAATGCTGAAAATAATTTCAAATGGTGCTCCGTGTTTGTCTCTGCGGGGGTGTTCGGGGCGGGCAGGGAAATCCTTGCCACCACAGCAGGGGAGGTCCAGGGATGGCGGTCTGAAGACCAGCGTCCCAGACACCACACGGGGATTTCGGCCGGGTCACACCTGCAGCCAGAGGAGGCACATCCACAGCGTGAGGGGGGTGAGCTGAGAGAGGCTCTGGCCGCCTGACCCGGCCCTCGCCGTGGCACAGTCCGCGTGGTTGTGGTACGGCTCGATGCAGCCCGCGTAGGCCATGACATGGGCAATGTAGTTCTGCTCGCGGATGCCGTGGAACAGGTGCGCCATGGGCCCCCGGGCCAGGATGGCCACGTCCTCGCCGCTGTGGGTCTCCGAGCTCAGGGGCACGGCTGCTTGCTGCTGGTAGTCCTTGTTGGCTGCAGGGGAAAGGAGAAGACGGTTGGGGGCAAGGGAAGGAAGACCCCCCCCCGAGACCTTGGAGCATCCCAGGAAGAACGTGAGGCAGGAGGCACGACCCTGGACTGCAAGCCCAGATCGGGGGCCCACCCCCGTTCCCCGCCGAGGTGCTTCTCCCGGTGTTGCCCCATTCTGAACTGCTGAGCTTCCGCTCCGTTCCACATCTGCAAACAGCAGGCACCACGGCCATCGCAACAGGCCTTGGTCACCCCAAGGTAAGTTGGCAATTCAATCCCACGTAGGAAAAGCTTCACAACTTAAATCTGAATATACGAATACAGAGTAAGTTGCTTTTGGCCAGAGGGGGTGGGATAGATGCCCTCACTGGGTCCTCCCTCTCATAGCATCCCCTGTCTGCCCGCTGCAGCACAGAAGAGATGCGGGGGCCCGGGGATTTTTAGGGGACACACTTAGATAAAAAGGGACTGCTACGATGACTGGAGTTGCAGGTGTTTTTTCTGGTTAAACAGGCATCAACCCGCTGGATCTCAACAAGGCTGCAGGATGGATTTTAACTCCCTTCCGAGAGGCCAGAAAGCTGTGAGTTCGGAGCGCTGGCATGGCAGAGGGTCCCCTGCCCCCGGAGGGGCAACTTCCCCCAGCTGACAGCCAGCAGTGCCGGACCCCGGCTCCCCCTCCCTCTCGCTTTTTCCTCCTTCCCGTCCCAGACCTGGCCTAGATCCAAGCGATCAGTCAACAAGTCGCAAGTGCTGCCAGAAGCAGGGTGGGAAAAGTGAGGGAGGGGCCATGGGGGCTGAACGGACACGAGGGCAGAGCTGCAGGCGGTTTTGCCAAGAGAACCCTCCAGCATCTGACTCTTCCCCCGGGGGGCCGGTGTGGAAAGGCGCTGTGGTCCAGCGGTGGCGCGCCGGTCCCACAGGGGTCCCCGGCTGACTCTCTGCCCCCCACTCTAGTTTCAAGATCGGGTCACTCAGATCCGCAAGGCAGAGGACGAAAGAAGCAGCTCTCACTGAAGTCCGCAGAGGCGGCGTCCGGGCGGGCTCCGTTCGCGAGGGCGTAGCCGGGCCCATTCCCGTACAGGATGCTGGTGTAGGAGCGCTGGTCCGACGCCTTCTTGCGTGCCAGGCCTGTGGAGACACAATGCCCACCACACGCCACCGTCACCAGCGCCAGCGGGGCTGGGCTCCTGCCGAGGTCTGTATCCCCGCAGGCACCTGCAGGAAGAACCCTGGCCTGCCCCTCGCCTTCGCCACCGTGGCTGCTTGCCCGGCTGCAGGAGGGGCTCTTGCCAAGGGTCCAGGAGGTCCCTGGAGCCCCCCCCCCCCCAAGCAGTAGCCTGAAGTTTCATCGTGCTCAAGGCCAAGGGCGCCTGCGGGAGACGGGCCTCAGCCAGCCACATGTGCAGACAAATGCACGTTTCTCTGCTCTGTCTCTCGATCGCCACATTTTTAGACACAAATGGTTGCGTTACACCAGAGCACACCTAGCCTCTTTCTTTAGTCTGGTGCCCTCCAGAGGTACATCCCCCATCACCTACACGGGGGCTGCAAAATATTTGGAGGGTGCCATGCCGGGGAAAGCTTCCTCGCAGGTTCCTTGACTGGAAATAATGAAAGAGGCCCGGCCTGGCATGGGCACCCCAGTTTTTCCTATTTTGAATTGGCTGGACGGCATCTCAGTCTTTTAACTGTTTAAAATCTGGTCAGAGAATGATGGTTGTTGGGCAGGTGAAACCGTAAGAAGAAATAATCCTTTTATTAACGCATGGTGAAAAATAAAGCCCTCGGGGCAAGCACATGAAATCCTGGGCCTGCCTGCAGACATTCGGCATCCGCTGCTCCTTGCAGGAAAACTCTGGAGGGGAGCGTGTGACGAGCGGCCCCTCTCGCAGGGATCTGGCCGAGGACACTCACCTATGATGCTGTTCCCGCGGCCGGCGCTGCCCCCAAAGGTGAAGACGTGCGAGTGGTCGGCGGTGACCACCGTGAGCGTCTCCGAGGCGCTGGTCAGGCGCCCAGCCTCTTCCACCGCCCGGTCCAGCATCACAGCCTCGGTCAAGGCCTGCCTCGCCCTGCAGTTGTGGTGCCCATGGTCAATCCTACCCCGTGATGAGGAGAAAGCAGGGCGATTTATTTAAGATCCATCGAAAAGATGTTTTCAACACGACTTTCAGGGCGCCTGACAAGTCCCTGACAACACCCACAAGGATTAAACATGTGAAAATATTATGACAAGGAAAGCATAGCAACACACGAGGAGGCTGCAAGTGATCAAGATTCTCAAAGCCTCGAACACGCAACTGAGTTAACTGGCCTTCGGGGCTTTTTCAGAAAGCCGCTGGCAAGTCCCAGAGGTGTGGGGCCACCCCTGACAAGCCCCCTCCTCGCACCTCTCAGGTTAATACCTCTTTGGTCAGCAAAGCCTCTGACCTCAGCCTTCATCCTCAAACAGATTTGCACAAGGATGGCTCTTCTTCCAGGGGGCCAGGTTCCTAGCTACTGGGGGTGTGGCGGGGGGCTTCCAGGATCCGGCACCACTTTTGCTGCCCATAACATCCCCCCCCCAATGGGCCGTGGGGTGCCCCATAGAGTCACCAGGAAATGCAGCCCAGCAGTTCCCCACCAGCATCCAGGGCCAAACTGCCACCCTGCTCCAAAAGGACCAGATTTATCTTGAGAATGGTTTTCTCCCACCCCCAGCTTTGGCGACGTGGGGGCAGTCGGGTGGAGAGCCACACCGCCCAGGGCTGATTCAGCGCCTTCAAGGGCAAAACAGCCCCTTGCGCCTGGCCTGGAAGTGCACAGGCAGCCAGGACAGACAATGCGTAATCGGCGCAAACACCCGGCTCTCACAAGCTGCCCGATTGTGTCACTCGCACTTTCCTGCTCTCCCAGCGCTGCTAGCTCTCTCTGTGCAGGGAATGGACCATATATGGGGAAGCGTGTAGCCATGTGGTAAGGCTCCGCTGCACTGCTTTCATGGGCAGGTTTGCAGGTTACGCTAACCCAGCCTGGGGAAAACCTACTTCGGACGAGGGTTCCAAGAACGCTCCACGGAAGCCACCCCTAAAACATTCAGGGGCTTCCTCTTGTGCCGAGCTCTGCATTAGAAAGTGAGCTGAACTGTGAGGATGCGATTCGCTGCCCGGGATGGTCTGGCACTGCCTGTGACTCGGGTCAGTGTGAATGGGGCCAACCCAGTCCCCACCCACCACCGGGAACTCCCTCCCGTCTAACCCTCCACAAGGGATCCCGATACTCATCTTCCACAAAGAGGAAGAAGCCGTTGGGGTTCTTGCGGAGGATCCGGATGGCCTTCTCCGTCATCTCCACGATGGAGGGGTCCGTGGAGGGGTCCCGGTTCAGCTCGTACGGCATGTCCTTCGGCTCGAAGAGGCCTGGCGATCGGATGCGGAGCGTGAGCGCTGCAAGAGACGGGGGGCGCTGGGGCTGCTCCATCAACGGGGGCAGCCTTTGCCCAACGACGAACGCCGCCTGGCCTGCCAAAAGCCGGCTGTACCTTTCGGCACGGGGGGGGGGCAGACGGGGAGGGCGATGGGGAAACGGCCGTGCACCGGAGCATCCCCACGGGCTGCTCTGCTCTGCTCTGCTCTGCTCCGCTCCGGAGGAAGCCCTGCTGGCTGCGCCTTCCAGCTGCAGGACGCCTGCGCGGGCCTCGGCCACGGCACCGCAGGGCCACGAGCGTCCCCAGAGCAGCCGTCCCGGCGACGCAGGTCAGCCGTGCTCCTGCAGGGCTGCTCGGGGCGCCACAATCCCCCCTCTGGTATCACCCCCCGGATGTGAGAGGGCCCCCGGGACCCCACAGTGCCTGCACCGCCCCGGCGGCCAGACGGTGGGCTCTTCGGCCAGGGCCCCTGCAGCTCCCGGGGCTCTGCACTGCCGCCCTCCCAGCAGGAGGCGCTTTGGCAAGGTGGCGGCCGCTTTGGGGCTGCAGCGGGGGCGGGGGGGGGCACGGTTGCAGCCAAACCGGGGCCAGGAGGAGGAGGAGGAGGTGGCGATGAAGGCAGAGTAAGTTCCACCCCAGTGCTGGCCCACTTGGGGCGGCCCTGCCAGGCCGGCTTTTAAGGCCGCAGAGGGAGAAACGAGAGGAGGGGAGGGGGGCGGGCAAGGCACCAGCAGCCAGGTCTGAACGGGTGCCGCACATGCAGGCGCTCAGGCAGAGCCGGGCACAGCAGCCCTCCCTGTGCGCCAGCCCCTTCCTCCCAGCCGCTGGCTTCCATGTGCTTGCGCTGTTTCCCCTCCCCTCCTTCCAAAAGGCCGGTGTTGCCATCTCCCGCCGCACAAGCGACGAGGCCCCGACCGGTAGCGGAGGAAGCAGACGAGCCCCGCATCCGCCCTCACCCAGGAGGTGGCTGGTGGAGTTCTCGTCCACGGCATCCAAGCCGGCTTTATTCCAGACATACCGGGCGTCCTGGAAGCGAGGGCAGTGTCAGTGCCGGGCATCAAGAGCAGACGGGCGTCCTGCGCACGCTCGTTCCCACGTGCGGCTCTCTGGGCGCTCAGGCACCTTTGCACCATGGGTGCAGCCGGTCTCTCGATCCCGGGTGCCGAGGGCCAAGAGAGGGCGAAAGCAGCAGCGCCTGGCTGTGCCTCTCCCAGAGGCCACTGCCTCGAGCAAGCTGCTGGAACGGACGGGAACTTTGGGCTGATCCAGGATTCTTAGCGTGTTCTTGAAACCAGGGATATACCACATGCTCAGAGGCCATTTGGGACCTCTCTGGCCATTTTTGTACCCCTGCCACATATTCGGTCTCTGCGGCGTCAATAGGATTCGGGATGCCTGCCCCCCCCCAGCCTGCTCTGACAGGGCAATGCAGCCCCCAAGCTCCAGACGCTGCCCACCCCCTTATAAAATACACCAAAACGGCCAAGTCTGTTCTGATACCTTCTTGCCCTGCAGCCACTTTTCGATGAGGTTCAGGCCGTCCTTCCTTTCCCCGTTCTGCTTGGAATCGTTCGGATACTCCGGGTCAGGGGTCGACCGAGGAGTCATGTAAATGCGCCCGCCTCCTAGAATCACCTGCAAAGAGGCATGAAGCATTCCGACTCTTTATCCAGGGCTGACGCATCATCAGTATTAGCAGCTGTCATGTGTTAGCTTGGACTTCCCTGCCCCAGCGCCCTCTGGACGTGCTGGACTACAGCTCCCATAAGCCCCTGGCAGCTCCCATAAGCCCCCAGTCCAACACACCCAGAGAGCCCTGGAACAGAACAGGCTGTTTCAGGAGTTCTGTCATAATGAAGAGAACACCCCTTCCGAATGGGAGCTCTTCAATGCATGTTATTTCTTTTGCTTAAAGTATTTATTCCATGCTTTATTACAAATAAACAGGCTCAACTCAGGATGGTTCCCCGGGACAGCTAGAGTCGGGCCGGCTGCAGTGCGACTCCCAGGAGCAAGGGCAGTGTTTGGAAAGGCCCTCGATTAGTTACGTGAGGCCAGGATGCTGCGGCCGCCTTCCAAATGCTTCCCTGGGGACGCTGCACAAGCGCCGTGGCATCAAATCGCCCGGGAGCCAAAGGCAGCCGTCCCGGCTAGGAGGCCTCCCGGATCCCCGTCTGCACAAGCGCTGTTCATGCCAAGTGGGAACAGACGGGGCAGCTCCCGAAGGGAAGCCCCAAAGGAAAGACGGTGAGGCAGTGCCGGTGGGTGTCCACCTCTGCCCCATCAGCCATGGGGGGGGGGCGTCGGGAGCACCTCCTTCCTTTGCCCCCGATGTAATTAATCTGGGACAGCCGGAGGCATTCTGCTCCCCCTGCAGGCTGCATACAAAAGCGAAGCGCCTCTTCCCTCCCCGGAAGGCAGCTGGCGGATCAGGGCCTCCTCCGCGCCCGGCTGCTGCGCCCGCCTCACACTCCGTCACAAGAGGACGGCTCAGCAGTGCGCGGCGGGGCTTCTAATTCAGCCAAGGTAAAAGCTGGCGATCCCGCTTGGAGCCAAGGGGGTTGGCCAGAACGCCACAGATAAAGTCCAAACGAGGAAGCCACCCCGCACCAGCATCCCCAGCGGTTAGCTGAGGAAGGCTGGTGGTCTGCTCTGAAGGAGGAATGCGAGCACAACGGGCCAAAGGCAGGGGCTCGAACGGCAAACCGGCTCAGCTTTACGCGTAGCACAAGCTCTGAGCATGGCTTTTTCAGGCTATTCCGAAACCTAAGCCAGGTCAGAAGCAGCTGGCTGCTTGGGGTGGGGGGGGGGGGGGGGGGGAGCGGTCTGTGCAGAATCAGGATCCTGATATTCCATACCCGCCCCAGCATCAAGGTGAAAACTGGACAAAGAGAATGACCCGGATGGGGACACAAAACGCCACCTCTGCATGGACATGGTTGGGGATGTACAATCCATCTGTAATCCTGACTATCTGAATGAGCATCTCCATCCATAGAAGCCCCCCCCCCCCCGCCCCGCCAGACCCTTGAGGTCCTTATAGGAGGGCCTTCTCCGGGAGCTTCCTAGGAAGCGAAGAAGGCTCCTACCTGTGTGGTGCCCCATCTGTGGAATCGGCTCCCCAGAGATACGAGCCAGGAACCTTCATCAGTGCCAGGCTAAGATTTTTTTTTCTCCAAGTATTGCAACTGCTGATAGTTTTAACCCTAACTTAATTTTAGACTGTATTTTTAATTCATGAATTTTAAATATTTAATCATTATTTTTAAGATGTCCAGTTTGTCAATGCGTGATGTCAAAATAGTTGGTTCTCTCGCTGCTGAAATGGATGCTTTTTAGTGCTGATGTTTTTTCTTGAATTGGGTATTACGTTGTCTTCTATGTTTTGTTGATGACTTTAACGGCATAAATGGTGTCCAGAGAGCCACATGGCTATTATAACAGTCCACAAAAGCATCAAATACATAAACAAACAAATAAATGCCCTTGGAAGGCAGCCCCGCTGAGTTCAGCAGGAGGTGTTCCCGGGTGATGCGGGAGCGACTTCAAGGGTCCAAGGCTGCTGGGTACTCAAGCCACCAGCCACACGGCCTCAGTGGCCGGCCCACAGCGCCCCGGCACGTGTCCAAGCGCTGCCGACCGTCCTGCCCGCCTCCACACTCGCACGCACACCCGCCACTCACGTCGATGTCCGTGTTGTGCACCAGCTGGTAGGCGATGTCTCTGCAGCCTTGCTGAGCGGCCTCTTTCGGCAGGTCCGCGTCGCTGTACCAGTCCCGGCTGACAGAGTGTGCATAGGCGGCACCCGGCGAGGCGTGCTGCACCCGGGTGGTGGTCACGATCCCCACCGACCTGCCTGCGACGGGGGAAGGCAAGGAGCAGCGCTGGGGAGACCGGCCGGGGCTCCGAACGAGCGTGAACACGGGGGCTCACAACTCCTAGCCCCATGGCTCGCCCGGTGCAACCGGGCCGGTTCGTTTCCCATCCGAACATCAGGCCAGCGGGAAGGCGAGTCCGGCCACCAAGCGATCTGTGATTTGCTAGGCTAAATCACGGACTTCGGAAATAGAGGTGATCTCGCCACTAGGCGAAACGGCAGCTGCTCTCCACTTTGAATGCGCATTCCCATAAAACGGAAAGCTAGCCCATTCCTTGTCGTCTTTCTAACAGCAGCTGGAGCAGGTGCCCGAAAGCCTTCCTCAGGTCCCTGCTCTCCCCCCATCTAACAGGCTCCAGGTGGGAAAATGCCATGGGGACAAAGGAAGGGGCACCTTGGCATGAAGAGCCACTGCCTGGGCATGGGCCGCTCAGGCCTGCAGTCCCAGGACTCTTCAAGCTTCTGCTGACGATGCTCCAGCTCCGAATTTCCACGAGGAAAATGACCCCCGGGATCCCCGCACACTCAAGTGATGCCCTTGGGGCAGCTGAGCCCCACGAGCCTCGTCCGTGAGGCCCCACGACCCGGGGACCAGGCAGGATGTAGGAAGCCGCAGAGCTCCTTGCAGCCAGAGGGGAGCCAGGGAGAAAGACCCCTCGGCTCCCCTGCTCCCCCTTGCCGCCCGCCCCCGGACTACCTGCCAGCTTTGCCCGATGGAGGACGGAGTGCACCTCGTTGCCGAGGGTGCTGTTGCACTGGCCGTAGACCGCGGCGGCGCTCACGCCCAGGGTCTTGGCGTTGGACTTCACGCCACACAGGTAGGCAGTGCCGGTGCCCGCGCTGTCGGGCACCTGCTGGTCGACGTTGTACGTCTGCCAGGAAGCGAGGAGAGGCGCGTGTGACCATGCGGACGAGGACAGGTGGGCTGAAGCACGCCAAGAGAAGCCCCAGCATGGGAGAGGGGCCTTGCAGGGCCCCCCGAGGGCGATCCGTGCCCCCCCACCAAAGCACGCAAGCCTGCAGACTTGGGAATGGGCTGCCTTCTGATCACGAACTGAGGAGCACTGGGGGCAGCCTCGCCCCTCATCTTTAATCCAGATGGCTGTTTGGGGGAGGAAGGAGGTGGGGGCATCGGAGGAACCTCAGCCTCCGCCCCCCCTCCACATCTGTGCTCATGGAGAGGGTTCAGCTAGCACGGCTCAGGCTGGGGCTAGAGGCACAGCACCAAGGCCAGAGGGCCTCAGCGCCAGGACTTGGCTGAACCCCGTGTCTCCCCAGGTGATGTCTGGAAGCCGCCGGGCTGTGCGCAAAAGCACTGATTTTGCAGGCGTCCTCCGTTCAGCCGCACCCCCTTTCACTCTGCATTCCTTGCACTTCTGGAGTGTGCTGAGCCGCCAGAGTGTGCTGGCAAGGGAAGAGCGTCAATACAGAACCACGAACAGGGATAAAATTGCAGGCAATGCATCCAGTGCAAGCCGGCAGCACAGGGCAAAAGGATCACTGATCACAAAGGATCAGCGAGCAAAAGCCAAATGCAGGATAAAAGTGCAAAGGTTTAAAAATGCCACGGGGGGTGGGGGGTGGGGGAGCGGCCAGCTCTTTCCTCCTCCAGGCAGAGAGCCAGGAGCACGTCGGCCAGCCACCGCGGCTCTTCCTCCTCCTCTTCCTCACCACCAAGGTCATCCGGGCCAGAGAGAGAGGTGGGGAACAGGCAGGGGAAGCCCATCCCAGGAGCGCTGGCCCAGGGGCACCGTGGGGTTGTGGGTGCCCACCTTTGGCAGTGGCCTGGCGCCATTGGTGCACAAGGGCACCGCAGAGTAACAACCCAAAGCAGAGTGGTCCCTGCCCCAAGGAGCTTACAAGGGAAGTGCCTAAACGAATAAGGGGGGGAGGGTACACACCTTGGACAGGGCGACGTAGGGAAAGGTCTCCATCGCCAGCAGGCTCTCCTCCCCGGGGCCTCCTGCCTGCTGGCCCTTGTAGATGCGGGCTGCCGAGAGGGTGGGCACCCCCATGCCTGCAAGACAATGGTCAGGGGTGTGGGGGGGGGGCTGGCCCCGCCCAGCTCCTCCTGAGTAAACCTGCCCCGGGGCGGCACCTAAGGGGGCCTATTTTGGGGGGGGGGGGGGGGTCTCCAAGCACTGGCAGATGTTGTGATACGGACAAGAGTAAGAGGTTGCCTGGACCCATAACCAGCAAAGCGCTGCTTCTTGTATCAGAAAAAGCAGCTCGACAGCAATAAAACACAATTGGCACTCGGTGTCTGAAAGGAAGGGCGTCCTGATGCCCAGAAGACACCAATTATTCCAGGACAACTGAAGTTGATTGCTCTGCCCATTGATCTTGTGGCACTTGGTGATAATCAGCTCTGCCACTTTAGAGCAACTTAGGTGGGCGAGGGGCTTGGGAAGGTCCCCTGCCAGAAGATGTGGCCCTGTCCGGGGTCGTTTGCCCCCAAGGAAGGCAGGCAAGCGGCACGTGGCTCCGCAGAGGGAAAGGGGAATGCCTTCCGCTTCCATCGTGTGGGACCCTAAAGGGGCTGGCCGTGTCGGAGCATGGAAAGAGGGGCGCGAGGCTGGCGGAAGGCTAAGGGTGGGTGGGCAGCGAATCAGCAGAGGAGGGGCGCTGGGGGGGTGCAGGGAGAGGGCCTGGGCTGCAGGGGGCCCATGGATGGGCCTGCTCTCTGAGAAGCGCCTCGCTCAGCTCTGCCTCTGCTGTGCACGGCCGTACTGCACCTGGTGAATTTCTGCCTGCCAGGCATCCCGGTCGGATGCGGGGCCGCCCTCCAGAGACAGGCAGAGGAGGGCTCCCGGGAATGCATCGCCCTGCGCTGCACTTTGCTCATGCGCAGAGGCGAGTCAGCGCCTGGTGAGGCCGGGGTCCCTGCAGCTCCCCTCCAGCCGGCGGACTGCAGCCCCTCCTCCCCGCCAGCGCGGCCCGTGTGGGGGGGCTGCCGCACTTGGCCCCTGGACCTCTTGGCTCGGGCGCCTTTCTCGCTGCCGGCGCCCCAGAAGCAGCCGCCTCGGGGCAGGGCGATGCAGCCGAGGCACTCGGCATGGCCGGAGTTGAGCTGCGGGGACACGGCCAACGGCGGGGGGGGGGGGGGGCCCCCGTCCCCCTGCAGGGGCGTGGGGCACGGGCAGCGGGGGTGCGGCGAGTAGGGCTCCCCACGGCCGCCCCGCCGCCTGCCCCAGCCCCTGCCCCTTCCCCTTCCCGGGGACCGCGCGAGGCCGCCTGGCTCCGGGGGCAGCGTGCGGGCCACCCCGCTGCGACGGGTGGGCCTCCGGCCCCTCGCCCACCCAGGCCCCACGGATGGCCTGATGGCTCCCCGTGAAGCGGTTTGCCCGCGGCGGTCGGATTTCTTCGCGTGCCCCTTTTTAAAAAGAAAACTGAGGAGCAGCGGGCGCGCCTCAGCCGGACCAGGGTGCCGGCCCCCTTCCCAGCGCCCGGCCCTTTCGACGCCAGGCCGGGAGGCTTCGTTGGCAAAGGCTGCCCGCTAGCAAGAGCACCCCATCGCCTTCCTCGCCGTGGGACGGCCTTTGTCCGAGGGCCAGCGCAGCCCAAGCCGAGGGCCGGAGGGCGGGAGAGAGCAGGGGGCACTGCAGTTGCCCACCTCTGGCCGGCACCTGGACCCCAGGCTCCGCCAGGCACACGGCCCCATAAAGACTTGCTTGGATGCATGTTCAGACAAAGGAAAGCCCTGCGAAGTCCCATCTTCCCCAGGTTGCTTTACTCTGGGTGTTCCAGGACTGTCTGCCTGAGCCCTGCATCAGCCACCTCTCTCTTTGAATGACACTCTTCCTTTTAAGATTTGCGACTAAAGCTACACGTAGGCAGGCGCACATTTTACACTAATCCGAGCCCTCTTGTACTTCTCTTTAGGGAAAGAGTTTGGGGCACAGACTTACCATCGCCCAGGAATAAAATTATGTTCTTTGCTCGGTGGTTCATGGGCGTCAGGTTGAGCGCCGATTCCAGCGTCTGCCGGGCTTTGGTGTTCCAATAGCCTGGCGTCTTTTCTTCCTCTAGAAGGCCAGAAGAGAGAGAAAAGTTGCCTTTTTGCACAATGATGGCGCTTAATTCGCACAAGCCGAGGGAGCGATCGTGAGGGACAGCTCTGTGCCGAAAGCCAAGCCCATCCTCTGGGCTGTTCCCCAGCTGTGCAGCTTTCTGTGCCCCCAAATAGCATCAGCCACACACTGAGACAGGGACTGGTACCTGGGGGGACCCAAAGCTCCATAGGAACATTAAAAGAGGTCCAGTGAGGCACAGAGGCCAGAATGCTGGACTGGAATTCGGGAGATGCAGATTCTAGTCTCTATCAGGCTATAAAGTTCATTCTCTCTCGGCCTCACCAACCTCACAGGGTTGTTGTGAAGATAAAATGGAGAGGAGGACTGTATAAGCCACGTGGATTCCTTGGAAGAGGGGAAGAAAGCAGAGATAGAAATGTCATAATTTTCCTTTTTAAAATAAAAAATAGCATCCTTGGGAAAAGAATTCTAAGGGGTGGATGCCGAACTGTCCACCTGAGCATGTTTGATGGCCGTGGAATGACTTTACTGATGGGAAAGGGAGTGAGGACCAAGGGGAGGAGGAATGGAATGGCATACCCAGAAGAGGGGCCTGGCTGGCTGGCGGGAACCGTGACCAGAAGGACTCAGCGCTGCCACACTTCGTTGTGGGTCTCACTTGGCAACGCTCTGAGCCATCAGAGTGGAAGAAAATCTGCATGCTCAGAGGCCATCTCTCTCTCTCCCCCCCGCCCCACTTCTCTTTCCGAATCCCTGAGGCTGAGGGGGCGCAGGGGGCAGCTGTGGTTCTCCTTGTGCTCTGCTTGGGTGTCTCAGCGGCCTCTGGCCTGCTTGGAAAAGGAGCGCCGGGCGAGAAGGTTGGCCGATCCAGCCGCATTCCCTTCAAACCACAGCTGAGCCACACCTAGACTCCACCCTAGCCCAGCCTTTCCACACTGGCTGGGGCTCATGGGGATTGTTGTCCAACACCTTGGAGGGTGCAGTTTGGAGAGGCTGGGCTGGAGAAGACGGGCCTCCTCCTGACGCACCCTTTTCTTGCCCTCCCCAAATCACACCTGCAAAGTGAGCTCTCCTCTCCCACAGCACTTGCACAACCCTCCCAGGTGCAAGTGAGCCCCCTTTTCCGCTGCACTGAGCCCCCCCCCCCCCCCCCGCTTTGCAGCCAGTGCGGCGTGTCCCTCAGGGAACGAGCAAATGGCCCACCAGGCCACCGGAGCAAAGGAGCGTGACTCGGCCATGTACAGAGTGCCAGCGGCCCTGGACCAGCCCTGGCAGTGGCAACCCCCACTTGCAGAGGCAGCATGCCAGAAGCAGGGTGGCCCTGTGTCCTCTTTTACAGGGAGCATCCTCTGTCTGACAGGCTGTTCTGTCTAAGCCCAGTTGAAAGGCAAAGCCATGTCGGAGCGGGAGCCCCGGGCACCAGACAGGACAGGTCAGTTGCGCAAGCCAGCCTGGAGTGACACCCTGTATTCCTCTTTAAACGATAATCTGCATTTCTGGATCTTCAGCTCTCTGCATTAGTTACCAGTTTAACGGATGTGCATGCTTCTTACGGAACTATTTTCAAAAGAATCCCTAAGCCAGGGGTGGGCAGCACAAAGCCCTCCAGATGATTTGCCCTAGAATTCCCATTATCCACAGCCAGCATGGCCAGTGCTGAGGGACGATAGGAGTTGTAGGACAAAACCCCTGGAAGCCAAGCTTTCCCCGCCTGCTCTAAGTCTAAACACATAAATTGGGACATGCAGCTTGGAGCCAAATCACGGCCGGCCGGCTGCCTTTAGTCCTCTCCTCTCAGCCACGCATTTGCTTCTCGGGTGATTCAGAAATGGTGCTGCATGTGGGAAAAGGCGAGAAAGGGAGGCCGGTTTGTGAATCGCAGGGTCGGCTGCTGGCCGGGCGAGGCTGGGGCTGGGGCTGGGCTGCCAGGTGGACTTTTGCTTCCAACCCGCAGGGCCGGCGAACGGAAAGGTGCTGGAGCGCACCTGGATCTCCAGCTGCAGGCTTGTTTGGGGCTTCGCTCAAGATCAAGAAGCCCCGGAAACTGGGACACCGAGACCTTGCTTTGCGTCGCCACTTCAGCCCCAGCTCCAGAATTTGGAGGGAGGGGAGCTGCCGCCACCGAGACCCCCCACCCGGGAGGCCTGCCAGGATGCCTTGCTGTCTGGGGAGCAGCAACGGTGGCTCTGGAGTCAGCAGATCGAAAGGGGACACCGGGTGACAGAGAGCAGAGGGCAGGCATGTGGGCTACGGAGTGCGAGCGGTGCATTTTCCACAATCAGGTAACGCTGATTAGAGAGGCATCGATCGATTGGGGTTCTGCCTGGAAAGGACTAAAAGTCTTTGAGTGGCAGGCAGGCAGTCCGGCTGCTCCAAAAGCCCATGTGGCTTGTGAGAGCAGGTGTCAAGTGTCGGGCTCTGTACTAAAGCGGGGAAGGAGGGAGTCCTGGCCAACGTCTCCCGAGCGTCTTTACATGAGGAACATCCAACCTGAGGAAGAAGAGAGGAGAGGCCTCGGGAAATGGGGGGGGGGATGCGGGGGGGGAGCAAGGGAGGGGAAGACCAAGAGGGGTGCGAACCTCCACAGGCCTAGACAGAAAACAGCCCTGCGCTTCCCGGTCGCAGCATGTTCTCTGCCTTGACATGCCGGGTTTTGGGCCTGAAACATGCAATCTCTAAGCTCAGAGTAGGGCAGCCGTTAAGCGGAGGAAGGAAAGGAAGGAGGACATTTCCAAGAAGGAAACATCAATGTGAGAAACTTTTCGAAATGAGAGACAAGCCGCACCCTGCATCTCTGCATCCCACCTGTTTTACAGCTGGGGAGATTCTGTAACAATGCGGAAATCCTTCCATGTCTGGGACGGGACGCCCTTAGCTTCCGTGGCTACTAGAACCGCCAGTATCCCACAGGAACAGGCAGGTGCAAGAGACAAAGAATTCCGGATCTAGGAATTTGTTCAGACTACCAGAGGAACTGGAAGGCACTCCCCCACCAGGAAAATCCCCCCCCCCCAATTGGGGGCCCTCAAGCCTTTTTCATTCTAGCAATATAATTTGTCATGGCTCTTCTTAGGCCGAAAATGTTGCTGATTGGCTGCTTCTCACCTGGAGATCAAGCAGATCAGTTCGTGCCCTGTGCGATTAGAATTCTGCAGCGGGGGGAGGGGAAAGTGCTGGGGGTCCCAGCCCCCCCCCCCCATGGGTTCTCAGGCAAACACCTGGCGCAGGAAGCTTGTTCTGTCGAGGTAGGGCCCCTGCAAAGTGAGGGAGTCCCTGCTCTAAATGGCCTGCAAGTTCCATCCTTCCCAGCCAGCGGGACCAGGTCCTACCGACGGGCACACGGGCTGGGACTGATGGGAGGTGCAGTCCAAGACACACGGCTGTGCGCCGGACCGGAGGATGCCGGGCAGCCCCAGTCTCCCAGAGCTCTCCTTCCCAGCCGTCCGGCCGTCCGGCCCTCTTGTCTCAGTCCAAAGGTCGGCAGCCCCCCCCCCCCCCCGCAGAACTTTGCTTATCACCAGAAGCTATTTCCTCCAAGGATTTGCAGAGTGCCCCCATTCATCAAGCAGGACTGCAGGGCTCATGGAAGCCTAATTAAGATTAAAGAAGTGTGCTTTTAATTAGTCAGGGTGGTGTTAAGGGCAGGCAGGGAGGAGGGGCCTGGCTGGGTTGGTCAGCAGAAACAGGGAGTGAAGGGGAGTGGGAGGCGCATGGCTGGGATATATCCCGGGAAAGGGGAGCCAGGGAAGTCGGGCAGGCCTGTCTCTCCAGCACGTGCTTCTTTGCTTATTAACAGCTGGTCGCTCACGCAGGAGCTCAGACGCAGGCGGAGGAGCACCCCAGATGCACTAGCCCTGGCCCCCGACTGGGCCAAACTGCCCCCTCCCTGGTCAGCTGCACGCACAAGAAGCTTCACAGCTGGGGAGCAGTTGCTGGGGAATATGGGCATGAGTGTGGAGTTGCCCGCATGGCCAGATTGTGGGTTTCCTGCAAGCAGCTGGTGAGCCACTGCGGAAGCAGAGCGCTGGACAAGACACACCTTGACCTGCTCCATCGGGGCTGCTTGGATCCGTTGCCCTTTTTCCTCTCCAGGCACTCAAGGCAGCGCCTAGAACTCTCCTCCTCCTCTCAATCGTTATCCTTCAACAACAGCCCTGTGAGGGAGGCTGGGCTGAGAGCCCGTGACTGGCCCAAAGTCACACAGAGAGGTCCGTGGCTGAGTGACCACTTGAACCCGGAGCTCCCAGGTCCCCAGTCAGCACTCTGACCACTACACCACTCTGCCCTGCTGTCCTCCTGCTGACTTGGCAGCCTGCGGTTTTGCATTCTGGGTGGTCTTTTCATGAGTGCGGCCAAATCCCATCTCAGTGCATCCAGGCACTGATTCTAAGCACTTCTTTCTCCATGTTCTGGGCCTTCCTTGCCCGACCTGGTGTGGTCCAGAAATGTTGGACTGCATCCCCTTGCACATGCTGGCTGGGGGATGCTGGGAGTTGTAATCCGACACAGTTGGAGGACACAGGCTGGAGAAAGCTGTATCCTTTTTACAGAGCACTGCAAAAATTTGATTACCCTTTATCGACATTTAAATCCAGGGTGCAAACCCTTCCAAGACAGCTCACACCACCACGTGACGTGGTCATAGATACAAGAGATGCACCGGTGAATCCCCAGCCGTTAAAATGCTACAGGAACATATGTGTAAAACCAGGAGACACCAGGGCTCCATAGATGTGCATTCCTATTTAGTACCATCATCATCATCATTATTATTATTAAAGTAAGCAAAGCAAGATCTCTCTGTCCCCCTCTCTCAACTGGCAACTTTTCCAGGACGTACGCATGACAGCGGCTCTTTGGGTGCAAAGGAAAGGAACTTTCCTTGCTCGGCCTGGCAAGGAAAGCTGGCTTCTCACCTAAGGAGGCAGCCGCAAGGTGAGTGCAGAGGGAAAGGAGTCCGCAGATGCCCAGGGCGGCTGGCGGCTTCATTTCGCAGCCCAGTTGAGAAGCGTCTCTGAGCAGCACTGAAGCGGCTGCGGGGCCTCTGAACTTAAATGCGCTCCCTTCCACCTTTGGACCCAGAGGGGCACGTGGCAAAGGGGTTGGGTGGGAAAGGAAACAAAGCCGAAAGGCCCCTCCCCGTCGCAAGAGAGTGAGTGGTAGCAACCGCATTGTGTACCTGCCTTTCTCCCCCATGGCCACTCAGAAGGTGATGGGGAGAGCAGGGCAGGGAAGGGGTTCTGTCCCGGGTGCCCAGCCCTGGAGACAACTAGGGTGCCCCCAAGAGGCACTGCAAATCTCACACCCCCCTTCTCTGGAGGTTCCTCAGAAGTAGTACGAGAGGCCGTGTTTCCAGAGTCAACGGGAGTGAGATTCCCACTTCCTTGCAGGAAAGGGGTCAGAGCTGGTCTGCAAGGGACAGCAGATGGCTGGAAGATTCTGCCAGGACATCTCTTCTGTTCTTGTGTAAAGTTAGCTGGCTGGCAGCTTATGGGAGTTGTAGTCCAACACTTCTGGAGAATAACTGGTCGGCCTGAATGATCTCTTTGGCCAAAGATGAAGAGATTTGGAGACCGCAGGCGCTCAGGCATGGCTTGTTGCATCGTCTTGGTTGAAGCTATCAACCTGCAACATTCAGGAAAGCAGCAGGTTATAGAAGGGATTCCTTGAGATGCACCTGACAAAAATAATCACAGCATCAGTTCTTTCCTTCAGGTGTGCAGGGAGGGGCTCTACTCCACCACCATGATCTTTTCAAAGGAGGCAACTTCCAATGAAAGAAAGTGCTTTAAACTTCCCAGATCTTGCCTTAAGTCACTGAGCTTATCTGTTGATTTGTACTCTATGTTGTTTGATGTTTTCTGTTTAGATCAGATCCCCCCGCCCTTGATTTATTTTGGGATCTTCTCTCTGGATGGAGCGTGCCAGGTTCTAAGCATAGTGATTGGATTCCTCCCGGATTTACGGCTGTTACAGACTGATCACAGCCATTGTGTTCTGATCCATTTTCTCAAGCACTTACAGGAAATCAGTTTTCAAAACAGGGAAGAAAGTTTTTGTGGCAGACATAGACAAGATGGACTTGGGTCCAGACCTGGTAAGGGGCACTGCAGTTGAGTTTTGGTTGCTCTGTTTCGGGGGTGAGGCAAGATCGGCCAGCCTGCAATGACAACATTTCTCAGTATTTCTGTTTGGCCCTGCAGCCTTCCAAGCACCGCCGTCTCCCTCACTCCCGAAAGCACCTACTCAGGCCAAACAAGCAAAGTGACCTCCAATACACATCTCTAAACATTTGTTTATTTGTTATTTGTTTTTCGGCGCCAGGCGAAGACCTTTTTATTTAAGTGGCATTTTAAATGTTAATATTATTGAATTTTATCTGGCCAGGGCAGCTTATTTTATATTGTATGTTTGTATTTTATTCTAATGTTTATATTTTTAATTTATGATTATTATTATTTAATTTATTGTTGTAAGCCGCCCCGAGGCTTCGGTGAATGGGGCAGCATAAAAATGTTTTAATAAATAATAATAATAAATAAATAAACATTCATCAGGAGTGCATAAATAGGATATGAATGGGCTGACGCAGGCAAAGCGTGAGGGACTCTCCATCGAATCAGTGGCGTGCCGGACGCATCTCCAGATCAAACGCTGCAGCTTCTTCCCCAAACAAGCATTTTCTGTTCTGTTCATTGGCACAAGGCCTTAGCAGGAATTTGTCTAAGCCAGCTGATTGTTGGAGGCATAACACAATAAACACTTTTCTTAAGCATATGTTTTGGTAATGCTGGTAGTTGCCCCTTTGGGGGAGGAGGTAGTTATAGGGATAAATCTTGCGCAGGGACACTCCTTAATATTTACCAATAATTGTTGTTACGTCCCATCAATTGTTTTCAACTTACTGATCTCAATACTGATTTGTATTCCTTATACAAATAAGGAAATAAACTCACGGGTCTTTCAAGTGTGTTCAAATTAAAAGGACTGCATAAAAAGTACCGTTAACTGTATGGAATGGTGCTGATAACTTGTCCTATTGTGTGACATAAATGTCCCATGCTTTTTTCAAAAAAAAGCTGAAACTCAGTAACATGTTAAAAATAATAATAATAATAATAATAATAATAATAATAATAATAATAATCCCATCCAGAGAAAGAGATAGTGTGATTGTCTAAGAATGGAAGTGGGGCAGGCAGAGATGGAGTCAAAAAGATGAGAGCCGTTCAGGCAGGGGGGCGGCTGGTAAAGGATTTGTGAAGCGATGTTGTCACGGACTGAGTTGATAGAACGTCACATCATTTGTGTGTCTCAATTTTTCTAAGTCTAATACATAATTTTCATCATCACTTTCTGTTCTTCTGCATAGAGGGGTGATTTCCATTGTTTTGGTGCTGCGGACAAAAGCTCTTGGTGTGTGTTGGCAGGCGAGTTGTTGTTTCTTATTGTTGTTTGCTATTAGTCGCTTCTGTGTTGGGTTAAGCTCCAACTGGCAAGTCTCAGCTATGACCGAATGACTTTATATTTATTAATTTATTGAATTTATAGCCTGCCTTTTTTTTCTTTCAAGGACTCAAAAGAGCTTACATCATTCTCATCCTCCTGCTCTCAGTCTTATCCCCACAACAACAACCCTGTGAGGTACGCTGGGTTGCGAGTCTGGCCCAAAGTCACCCAGCTGGCTCCATGGCTGAGCTGAAAGATGTATGGAGAGAGTTAAAGGGAAATGAAAAAGGTATACATTTTATTCTTCAGTCCAGTACTGTTAAACACTTTAAAAGATGTGACCAGTGATCCTAGGCTATTCTTGGGATATTCTGAGAAGTGAGGTGGCGAATATATTGTCCCAACAGAGAAAAGAGCATCAAGAATTTTGTGGCAGTAACAGCAAGTAAAAGAAATGCCGGATTACTTCACTGAAATATCGTGATTCCTTTTTCTGAACTCCAGCAGTCACCACCTGCTTCTGACAGTCTGAAAGATGTTGACAGCAGATCAGGCTTGCTTGAAGAAAATGGACAATTCAAAAAAGGACAAGAAAGGAAACATTTCCAGATGAAAAAAGGACAATTTGCCGGGAAGGCGAGGCTTTCAATGATGTGGTCGTGCTGATCTGGGACTGCCCGTCAGCGTCCTGAGCGTGCTCAAGTGGAACCACCAAAATGTTCCAGACCCATTGCCCAGAATTGTGTTTCCAATGTTCGAAAGCAACCATTCCCAAGTTAACAGCCAACTATTCGCAGCACAATACCATGCAAAACACCAGAACAGGAACAACGCAGGGTGTAATTTCTTGCAGAAATTTGGACTCTGCTGTTTTTGTGGCACTAGAACTTTCTGCAGTGCCAGCTCAACTGGACTTGGACTTAAGTGCTATCTCTGTTCTGAGAGTTTTACAACGCACTTTGTATTTGGCTCGAGACAGCAATTGATCCATGCAAATCAATGATAATAAGCAAAAAGTCTATGGGTCACACTGGGGGAATAAGCAAAAAAGAGCAATTGCTGGAAATGTTTGGGGTAAATTTGGTATAAAGGATGGAAGATAAAACTGAGTGTGAAACACAGGAAGAAAGAGTCTGACTGTAAGGACTATATAGCAAATAAATTAGTTCATATTAAAAATTCCGGTAAATAAAATTCCCAGGGAAATACGAAGATGTTTACAAATTACAATGTATTTAGGAAAAATGCCAAAGGAAGTTAAATATTCAGAATGAATTGTAATTGCTTTTGCTAACAAAAACCATAAAATGAAATAAAATGAAATGAAAAAGTTTAATTATCAAGAGAGGGTATGGAAGAACATGACTACATCACAAACTGGAGAGAAAAGAATTCAAGTAGATGTGTATGGAGGGGTAAAGAGTGTATGGTGAAGGAATTACAGTTTACAGGTGCCAATTAACATTCTTAATAATCGCTGAGTGACTTTGGGCCAGTCACTGACACTCAGCCTAGCCTACCTTGCAGGGTTGTTGTGATGATGAAATGGAGGAGGATTATGTAAACCGCCTTTGGTTCCTTGCAAAAGGGAAAAGGTGGTGTGTAAATATAATAAAGAACAGAATTGGACATGGATATAAACAAATAGAAGAAGCAGGGTGCATGCATGACATCTGAAAATCAAACGCCGATGACTTGCTGGCAGCAAGAGGTGAAAAGCATTTCAAGCAGCCCGGCTAAAGTGGCTGCACAAGCCAAAGTATTTCTGGCAGGAAGTTTGACTTGGGGAAAAGAGAATACCATGAGGAGCATCCCATTCTAGAGAAGGGTCCTGCCTCAGAGAGATTGAAATTGCAAGCTGGGAAATTTCTACAGAACCGTACAAGACAGACAAAATCATTGGGGTTTTGGGGAGGGCATTCTTGCTGGTGGCCCCCTCATCTATGGAATAGCCTCCCTGCAGCCTGGCCACTGTCGAACCCGCCATCTTTATGGTGCCAGGCTAAGACGGCCCTTTCCCCAGCAGCTTTTAATGACTTAGCCTCCAGGCATTTCGCAGGCTCTCCCTTTTTTCTTCTCTCAGTTATTCCTATTATCTGTTTTATTTTCTGTTGTTAGCTGTTTTTTCTGATTTTATGACATTTTTATTGTACTTTTATCACCTCTTTTTATGGACTGTGTAAACTTCCCAGAGAGGTTTGGCTTTGGGGGCTAGCGGAGGAAGGGGATATAGAAATGAGCTATATAAATCGCCATGAAATACACCCAAGAGAGAGGAGCTGGGACTACAGGAGCCTGAGTACAGGGAGCAAAATCATTGTGTGAGTCTTAATGGAAAACTGTGCTCAAAGAAGTGTGTGTGTGGGGGGGAGGATACTGGGTCAGGGCACCCCCAGTGGGGGCCGACCTCTGCATAAAACCTCTGCCTAGGCACTGCAGGCATGCAATGTGTCTTTTCCGGTTGTAGCCTTGTCCACAAGTTTTGTGGCATCATTTTCTGCACTTGGTGTTTATGGTTAGAATAGAATCCCTGCATGTCCATTCATACGGTAACTGTGTTGACCGCAAAAGGGCCAAGTCCTCCTTGTTATCAGAAGAATATACTCTATGGACCCAAGATAGACAGGTTGGAGGAGCCAGTTAAGGTAGCAACAGGTCTGCTTCAGTTGATTTATTAGCCATAAAGTATTTTCCTACAGTGGGTCCAGCGCCTTGGATGCAGTCAAGAGTGAAACTCAAGGTCTGGGCCGAGGCTGAGTAATCCATACCCTGGATGGGTGCTCACCTGTGGCTCTTCCCGTCCCAAAACTTTCTTCTCCTCTGATGGGCTCCATCTCGTAAGAAGAGTTTGTGCCCCAAGCCTAGTCTTGTATCATGTCCTTAAGTCACTGTTCTGGATTGTAAACTGCCTGGAGGATGCAGGAAAAGGGATCATACCTAACAGGTAAGGCTAAAATAGGGGCTCTCAAGCCACTGGGAAAGGACGGCATCTTAGCCGTGCCAAGAGTTTTCTGATGGAAGCTGGAATGGCCAAGTCCCTCCACTGGCATAAATACTGAGCACAAGAAGAGCAAAGCACTGTGCCACCGTCATAAAATAAATACAGCCAATAAAATGTCCTGACTGAAACCCTAAACAGAGGGAGCGAGAGAGGTGGTCCCGTGGGAGATGATCGGAGGATGAGGGAGGGAGAGAAAAGGAGGGAATGCTTCATCTACAAAAAGGCACGAAACTGTGACTCCAAGGTAGATGATGGGGCAGCAGCCTTCCCTCGGAGCAATTCCCTTCCTCTCCTTCCTGCCCCCAAATCACCTTCCTTTTGCAGAGGCACATGCTGGTTGAAGACCAGGGGAGGGTGCTGCGTATGCCCAAGGCAAGGCTGCAGAGCGGCTTCCCCTCCACCGCACCTGGCGCTGCCTTAAAGCCTCTGGACCACGCAGGCCGAGCAGAACGGATGCAGCAACCAGCTGCCTCAGGAGGGCTCAGCTCGCCGGCTCCCTGCACACACATGGAGGAGGCCTCAAGTCTTACTCGGGGGAAGAGCCTGACAGCAGCGGCCACCCCTGGAAAGGCAGGCTAGGGTTGCGAAGCCCTGCAGATGCACTTAGTGCCATCTCCCATCACCCCAGCCAGGGCAGCAGATGGGGAAGGCTGGCTAGGCTCAGGGTTGGTTCGTTCTGGCGAGGAAGACGGAGGACTTCTGTAGAGAGCACGGAAGCGCAGAGGATGGCTGCCCCACAGAGGGGAACCAAGGCCGGGAGCATCCGAGGGGCTGCAGCTCCCTGGCTGAGTGGCGCTTCGCATGCAGGAGGTCCCGGGCTCAGTCACAGAATCCCCAGGAGGCCGGGAACTCTTGCGCCACCCCGAAAATGCCACCAAGCACTGCAGCGTGTAGCCGACCGAGGGGGTTTTCTGCATGCGACAAGGCAGCTTCCCGTGCTCTCACTTCTGGAGCCTCGTCCACCGCCTGCAGGAAGGGATGCGCAGAAAGCTACGGCCCGCGTCAAGGACAGGCACGGCCGGGTGCCTGCCGAGGGGCCGCGCCCAGAGGGGGCAGGGACGAGAGCCCCCAGGCCCGCTCCTCCTTTTGGGTCTCGGAACCAGCTTGCGCGTCGGCCTCCCTCTCTGGCCCAGACAAGAGTGCCGGAGCAGGGGACGCTGTGGCCTGCTGGTCTTCCGCCAGCCATGCGAGCAGCCCATGGATCTGCCCAGGGATTCGGGCCCTCCCCAGAAGCCCTCCCAGTGACCTGCAGCGGGGCCTCCTTGCTGTTGGCGCCGCCCTTGGAAGCCCCTTGCCTGCGAGAGGCTCGGTTGGTGCACTCTGCAGCAGCCCTTTTCCCCACTCAGGCTTCCTGTGTCTGTTGAAGGCGTGCGGTGATTATTGCATAGTCCCGGATAGCCTTGACTTGGGACATGAATGATAAAGATATAAATAGCTATTTTATCTGGGCCAAAGCACATTCTGTATCAGACCCCAATATCTCTGCACCTGCGGGTCAAGGCAAGCATGAGCCCTGAGATTTCAACATGTTACCTGAGGGGGCCTTGTGAGTTTCCGGATATGCAAGATCTGAATGCGAGACCTTAAATGTGTTGTTATCACACCGTCTCTGATAGCCTTGTGAGTTGGGACATTAATGATAAAGATATAAATAGCTATTTTATCCGGGTCAAAGCACGCTCCGTATCAGCATCTCTGCAGCTGCGGGTCAAGGCAAGCGTGAGCCCTGAGATTTCAACATGTTACCTGAGGGGGCCTTGTGAGTTTCCAGGTGGGAGGCCTTCCGGTGCAGGGCTCACGGGCATGGCCACAGGGCAACGCTTATGGAGGGACTGGGGACGCACACCCCTCCCGACGCTGGTGGGTTGCAGCTCCCATCATCCTTTGTCCGTGCTGGCTGGAGCACCTGGCAGCGGCAGTCAAGCCACTTCTGGGCCGGACGTTCTGGAAGCCGCCGGAGAGCCAGTGGGCACGTTCTGCCCCGTCCCGTCCCAGTCCTGCCTCGCCTGCTTCGCGGAACGGCGGCCCCCAAGCTGCAACAACCCCCCTCCCAGCCCCAAGCCCCTCCCTACCCTGCACGGGAGATCAGCAGGCAGGGAGGGGTCGGGCCTGCTCGGTCCAGCATCTTCCGTCTGCTTTCAGGCTGCCACATTCAGCAGCCTTCAGGGGCGAAAGGCGAGCCCTTCAGTCCCACCCTTGTCGCTCTGGCAGCGGGACAGGTGGAAGGGGAGGGGAAGGTGCTGCTGGGGTGTCTCACGGGGATTTCAGAGCCCCCTCCCTGTTAGCACGGGGCAGAAGGAAAGCTCCCGGGAGAGCAGCGGACACAGACCCACGGCCAGGGACGGAAACCCGCACAAGAAAGCACGCACCCTCCACGATCGACCAAATTTTTATTACACGGCAGAAGACACCCCAGCGAGAATGGCCTTGGCAGACCAGGCTGGGGGAAATACGGAGCCCAGAGCACAACTGCTGGACTGCAGCTCCCATGCCGGTTGGGAATGATGGGCGTTGTAGGCTCACACGTCTCGGGGAGCCAAGCGAGGGGACGCTGCAGGCCAGCCGATGGGTTGGGGCGCCGGGTTCCCTGCAGACGCAGGGTAGGCACAACACTGCCGTGCTTACGAGAAGACCAGACCTAAAATCCCAGGGCTAAAACAGTTCGGGCTGCCAAGTTCCTGTTGGCGTCTGCTGGGAACAGGCTGAGAACTGCCCACCAGTTTCACTTAAAAATCCAGAGTTAAAACAAAACCCATCTGCAAAACGGCAACCGCAGAAGGTCCACGGCCGGAGTCCTTTTGGAAACGCCTCGCGTGCAGGCGGGATGGGGAGCCGGGCCGGTCACTCTCCTCCACCGGGCCTCTTCAGCACCGCGCTGTACTTCAGGGGGGTGCTGTCGGACTGCAAGACGACCTCCACCAAGGTGAAAATGGAGATGACCTGGGGCGACACAGCAGAGGTTAGCTGGCCAGCCGGGGCCTCAAGCCTGCCTCAACGCAGCCGCCTCCCGGTCTCGAAACACACGAGCACAAGGGAGGCAGGGCCGCCCGCAGCTATTTGGGAATGGAAGTCTCCATGCAAGAGAGCCCCCGTGCCCAGGGGCAGTCTAGCTTTGAATGCCAGATTCTGGGGACAAATGCAGAAGAGGGTGGCTTTCGGGCTCGGCGGTTCTTGCACAACCACCAGGTGTTCGGACGCAGGCACGTGGCTGGATGCAGGACACCCAAGCGTGGCGCGACCCCCATCACCTGCGGAGCTCGCAACCACCCTCTGCTTTCACTGTGCACTCCATGAGCTGCCCCAGGTTGGGCACTGCCAGGCAGAAAGAAGCGAAGCCAGGAGGAGAGCACCGACAGAGCCGGGCTGCAGGGGCCGAGAGGGGGGCCGCGGCCATCCTGGCAGGGCCTCATGGGAGCTGGAACAAAACCCCCGGGGATCCACCTACTGCCTGCCCCAGGCCTGGAGCGCAAGCCCCACTCTGCGGGGAGGGCCCAGCAGCTGCGTGTGGGGGACTGGGAGCCGGCCTCAGCTCGGGGACCGTAACCTGCCCCCCGTGGGTCTCCTGCCCCGACCCCACGCACTCCCCTGTCCCCGGCTGCTGGGCGATTCCCAGCTCTTGCGCAGCCCCCTCCCCTGCCACGAACTGTGCAAGGGCTTCAAGGGCGGGAGAGCGCATTTCCAGCCAGCCTGAGCCTCGACTGTTCTCCCTGTGGGCGCTGGGCGCTTGCTGGCCACCTCTGCCGCCTGGACTGGCTTGCTCTCAACATGCGGGCCAAGCGTGTGTTGCTGGATCAGGCCAGCGAGCGTCCCGTTTGCACACCTGGCTGCCAAACCCGGGAAGAAGGCAGGCGGCCTCTGGGGAGCTGGTGGCCGCCACAAGGAAGCCTCAACCGTCTCACCCGGCTGGGCAGTCCCCGCAACCCGTCTCCCGCACGCAGCCCGGCTCCGTCGGCTGCCAGAGCCGTCCTTCTAGCAGGGGCCGTTCCCAGCATGCCAGCCGGCTCCGGGGGGGCCCAGTGACCGCCATGCCTGGGGAAGACCAGGACCGGGACGAGGGGGTGCTGCTCCCCTCCCCTCCCTGCTCGCCCACCCACCCGCCAGCCCTTGCCCCGCTCAATGTGCCCCTGGCCAGATGGCAGGGCCGTGCCGCCGTGCCAAGGACTTCAAAGCAATTAGGCAGAGCGCTGCGCTGCGGCTGCCAACCTGCGCTTGGCATGGAGAGGAGTTTAATCAAGCCCAGGCAGCGCGACGGCTCCCCTGGTTGTGCTCCCGAATTAACGGGTGCCAGGGACGGGCGTGCGAGGGAGGCTGGGGGCCCTGCCGATGCGCCGGGCGCCGGACTGGGGGAATCTGCTTGGGGAGGGGGTGGGCGAGGACAGCCTGGCCACTGTGCCTGAGCCGGGCCGCGGCTGGAGACAGAGTGGGGAGCCAGGAGAGCGGAGCAGTGGGGCAGGCAGGGCGGGGAGGGGGAAGCGGGACACGGATCTGTGGAACATCGTGGTGGCAAGCTGGAAGGGCGGTGGGGGGGGGGGCCAGCTCCCGGACTCAGGAACGAGGCAGGCAGGCCCTGCAGGGAGGATGCCGGGAGGAGGCCCAGCTGCCAGCAGGGCAGGCGTGGCCGGGGAGCGACCGCAGGCATCCCGGAGGAGCCTTGTGTGGCTGTGAGGGAGGGCGAGAGGGCCAGAGGCACGCCACAGGTTGGCAGGCGGGCGACTGAGTGGTGACTGAGCAGCTGTGTCGTGCGAGCTGGCCGGCCAGCCAGCCAGCCAAAAGCAGCCTCGGGCCCAGACAGACCGGGGGGGAGAGCCCCTCCTCCCCCTGCATAATTACCTGGGGCCTCCCGCTTTGGGCAGCATGCTGGGGGCAAACCTCCCCGGAGCTGGAGGGCGGCCTCCATAACAGCTGTGCCGGGCAGCTCTCCCCGCCAGGCCCTGCCGGCCGGAGGATGCTGCCACTGGAGCCCAGCGCAGCTGAAGGACCCCAGGGACACTGGCAGGGGCGGCGCTGGGCACGGAACGGTCTGGACAGGAAGGGGCCAGGCCGGGCCTCACCTGCTGCTCGGCTTCCCCCTCCAGGCCCTCGGGGGCCCACATCAGGGTGAGCTGCGGCTTCTTGCCCACCTTCTGGAACTGGAATCCTACCAGCGGCAGGGCCTGCAAGAGAAGGCAGGGGCGGCACCTGAGGGCCGTGTGGACGCGAGCGGGGTGGGACGCGGGGAAGGCGCTGGGCGCGCACGGCTGAAAGGCCGCTCGCGGGCAAGGGGCGGCCATGTCGGAGGCCCTCTGCCCGGGCAGCATGTCTCCCGTCGCCTCTTACTGGCCAAGGGCTGGGCCGAGCATCCGGTGCCCCCCCCCCCCGAAGTCCCTCCCCCTTCCAGAGCAGGCTGCGTCTCACGAAGTCACCTTGAAGCTCCAGCATGCTCCCCCCTCCCCACTCTTCCGCCTGCTCCTCAGAGTCCGAAAAACCCATCTAGATAATCCGCAATAAGCAAGAGAGGCCCCCCTTCACTACGCTTCGTACGACAGTGTCCAGCATCCCTGCCCTGGGGCCACACTGGCTGGGGCTGGGTGGAATCTGAAGGCCTGCGGGAGGGGGCACCAGGGGGAGGGGGCCACGCAGACGGCCCACTCGGCAGGGTGGGTGGGTGGGTGGGGGTTTCCTTATCACTGGGACGGCAGCAAATGCCCCCCTCCCGCTGCAGAGCTCCCTGCCAGGCCCCGGGCGAGGCCAACCCCCCGCCCCGGCAAGGCAAGCCTCCTCGGGGCACGTCCCACGTGGCTTCCCGCCACGCGGCCGGCCAAGCCACCGCCAGCGTCCTCACCTTGAGCGGGCAGGAGCCGCCGCCTGGCGCAGGTGCCGGGGAGCGGCACATACTCGGTGCCTCCCGGCTCCCATTTCGGGAGGTGAAATTAAAACCAACTCCTCCCCAGCTCCTCATTCCAGGGGGCGAGAGCGCTCACCGCAGCCTGCCAGCTCCGCTTTATGGCACCGCTACCAGCGGATAATTATCCCCTCGGAAGGGCCTGATGGAGGGGCAGATGGAGGGCGGAGAAGTGGTGGCGCTCCCGGCAAGCTCCTCGAGGCCATGGCCGCCGCGCCGAGGAGTGGCCACGTGAGGACCCCCAGGCAGCCGTCAGGGCGAGCAGGATGGGCCGGCGGCAGAGCTTGCGGGGAACAAACGGGGGAAGCTGCCTGGGGCGAGGCGGGCAGGCCTTCGGGACGCTGGCTAGCTTGGCGGCTTCCCCGCCCGTTCCGCAGCAGGGGGCTTTCCTCTCCTGCGTGTTTTGTTTACATGGCAGCCTGGGCGAGTGAGTGACACGCCAATTTACAGGTGGGAGAGCAAGATCCGGAGGCAGAATGCAGCCTGCGGGGCGAGCCTGCAGAGCAGAAAGGGCCATTCCTGGACCTGGTGGGAGGGAAAGCCCAAGAGGGCCTGAGGCCAGGCTGGGAGCTCCTGCAGGAAGAACGGGCACTGCCCTGCCCTGCCCTGCCCTGCATCGAGGGCTCGCGGGTCAGATCTGCAAATGGCATGAATCGCTCCCCTGGGCACAGTGCTACACCCCCCCCACCCACTCCAAGAGCCCTCTGCCCTTACAGACAAATTCAGTCTGGCTGGCAGGTCAGAGTCTTTTAAAGGAAGGCCGCCTTCCACCGTATGAGTCTGCCTGAGCGCTAAGACCTTCTGGGGCGGCCCACCATCAGAAGACAGCTGGGACATTAGAGATGGCCTTTCCAAGGCTATGGAAAACCAGGAAAAGATATTCCTCTTTGGGACTTTGAGATACAACTTGGTCTCTTGCTGAAGGGGGGTTACATTTCTCCTACTGCAGTGTTGTTGTTGTTTTTTTCTGCCCTGTTTGCACGAGGAGCTTAACACAGAAACAGAGCGAGTCAGAAGGGGCCTCCCGGGCCATCTAGTCTGACCCCCGGCTCCAGCCGGCTCCTACCATGTACATGTCCAGCCCATCCTTGAACACCCTCCCTGATGGGGATGTTTGCTTTTAATCTGTACTTGACTGCCAGCTGCCCTGAAAGCCACCTTTGGGCAGGAAGGGGAGACAGAGGTAATGCCCAGAAGCCAACATTCAGCCACAAGCCTGGGACAAGTCTGGCTTCTCTGTCCAGGGACCCCAGTGGGGTACGAGAACACAACGAGCCACCCCACGGCTGAGGCAAAGAGACGCCGAAACTGCAGAAGCACGGTGGCCACTGCTGCGTTTGGGCCCCGGGTGCCTGCAGGTGCTCACGTTGCAGTAAATGCGCTTCTGGACACCAAAGCGCAGCACCAGAACATCGAAGGCCTCGCTGAGGACGCCCATCACCATGGCTTCCGACTCCAGGGGGCCGCACTCCTGCAAGATGAGAGAGGAGAGAGCAGGTGTGATCAGCGGGGCAGGAGCAGAATTTCGTCCACCGAATGCCAGGCTACACAAAGCGCCACAGAAGCTCGTGCTCTTTGCATCCCCTTCTGGTCTTCTGGGCGGCAAGGCAGGTGCCTTTGCAGCCAGTGCCAGGCCTCTGGGAGAGACCAAGGCCTGGGAATGTGAGCCTAAGGCAGGAGATGAGCATGTGCCCCTGGCACCCTGACAGGTGGGGAAGAATTCTGCAGGTGAGTGGCAGAGATGGCTGGAGTTCTAGAAGGCAAACTGCGTGGCAAGGTTGGGGTCCCGTCCTCCAGAGGAGGGGGTTTCCAGGGAGATGCCCCCCTCTTCCAGGGCAAGTCATACACTGGAAGGAGAGAACTGTCAGTGTCTCTAGCGGAATGAGAGAAGAGAGACGGCAGTCCCCATGGAGGCAGGTGACGCACCTGGAAGGGTTTCCCAGCTAGAAAGCGGTTCAGCTGAGAATCTGCTGCCCAGCTGGCTTCTGTTGTGAGAAGGTATCCTAAGAAGCATGGGCAGGCCCTGCCAGTACGAAACTGGGGGACTGGGCAGGAATGCAAGAAGGCCGGGAAGACGGGGCGGGCGCGGCGCTATTTCACGGCACGAGCTAACGCACTCTGGCCCCCGACCTGCAGCACAGACAGACCCAAACCGGCTCCGGGTAGCCTGGATCCCAGGGCCTCACCTTGACCAAGACGGAGAAGAAGAGATTGGCACTGAGCTCCTGCACCCGCTTGGAAGCCATCTTCTGGTCGTTGCAGTGCTCGGCCTGCTTCTGGATGGCAGCCTCCTCCATCCGCGGGGCAGAGCCGCACCCTGAAGAGGAAGCCGCCACCATCAGAGGGGGGAGGCTCCCCCACGCCTCTGGTGCTGCAAGCCAGCCCGCGACGGGGTCATCCTCCCGGGGGAGCACAGTGTGTGCCATCCAACCTGCGGCACTTCCCGCGCCGGCCAAAACATCCCCCCCAGCCTGCTAGATAGGACCCACCTGTCCTGCGTGGCTCGGCTGGTGAACTCGCGGCACCCCTGCTGTGCGGGGCCCACACCAGGTGCAGCACACGGACAGCTGCAGGGCCGCTCGGTCTGGCCCGGCACGGCACGCCGGGCTGCTGGAGGAGCCCCAGCCCCCCCCCCCCCGCAGCAGCCCGGCCCAGCCGGCCTTGCTGTCTCCGGAGAACCTACCCAGAGAGGCGGAGAGCATCCGATGGACCAGGACGTCCGGGAAGCGGCGGATGGGCGACGTGAAGTGGGTGTAGAGGGGCAGGTTGAGGGCATAGTGGTGGAAGAGCGCCTCGTCCTCCAGCGTCCCGGCACAGAAGTACACGGCCATCTGGAAGGGAAGGGAAGGGAAGGGGCAGGTCAGGCCTGAGGAAGGGGCGGGGCTGAGGAGCAGAGGGCGTCCGGCAGGGCAAGCGGCCCCCGCCCCTTCCGTGCACGTCCGCAGCGGAGGGTCCGGGGCAGAGGTGGGGCAACCCTGGAAAGCAAGCACAGCGGCGGAGTCTTTTCCAGGCAGGCTGCTGCACCAAACACGATCTCCCTTCCCACCACGCCTGCTTCTTTCTAGAAAGGACCTAAGCAGCTGTTTGAGCGTTTCAGCCGTGGGGCAGTACAGAAAGGGAGTACATACATTAATTTGATTTCGTCCACGTGTCCTCCTTGCTCTCCATGCCGACAACGGATCTCAAGAGCTACCCATCGAGAATTTAACAAAGCAAATCCACCAGATGCAGGACTGCAAGCACTGGGCAACGGATGTTTGGCTCCCACCCAATAAACAGGATGGCGGCCTGAATGGGTGGGGACTGCAATAGCACCAATGGCCAACGGAGAAGGGGATGCGTCCTGGCCGTCCGCCCGTGGAACTGGCCGTGAAGCTGGGGCACTGCACACGGACGCGGCCCTTCTGGCTAAGAGGCTGAGCCGTGAATCTGCAGTACCCAAACTCAGGCTTCCTCAGCACCAGCCTGCCATCACTGAGCAACTCGGCCATCCAGAAGACCCTCCTGCGAAGCCGGGAGGAAGGAGCAGCTGAGAATACCTCTTCTCTTTGCCACCCCCTCTGCAGAGCCGGGGCGGCAGGGAGCAAGAAGGGCGCAGCTTGCAGGAAGGCTGCTTGGATGGCCAAGAGGCTCAGCGCCAGCTCGTCTGAAAAAGCTCTCTGGATGCGCTCGTTAGCATCAAGCGAGCAAGAGCCCTGGGACGCAATCGTGTTGCCGCGCCATTTGAAGTGCAGCTGGCCGCTTCTCCCACAGCGCTGAGACGTGCTTCTCCCGGAGCCAGCCGCGTTCGGGACGAGGGCAGCTGGAAAAGCTGGAACGGCAGAGCAGAGCCGGGTGATGGATGGGGCAGCAACCTCAGGCAGGCGGCTGAACAGACGGGCTCGCACGTCACGCAGGATCGAGGCTGGGGCTGCCGCAGGCCCAGCGGCGAGGGAGCCAGCCTGGGACGGAGCCTCTTGGCCGAGGCGCCGCAGGGCAGTCCAAGGTCTCCCTGACCTCTCCGCACAGCACGGCTTCTCCGGCGAGGCTCCCCTGCACACACAGAGGCCTCACATGCGGGAGGAAGCAGAGCCTTCCCCGTTTCCTGGTGCAATCAGTCACAGGGAGGAAGGGAAGCGCTCAGCACTCCTGCCTCTCTTCTCGAGGCATTCAATCAGCCCCCTAATAAATCAAAGCCAGCTCCCCTCACAAGAGGAGCTTTCTCGCTGCAGCCGCATCTGGACCACTGTGTAAACCGCCGCTCTCTGTCTCTGCTCAAGCTGGGCTGCTCGGCTCAAGGAAACGCAGCAAGTTCCCGTCATGACAAGCCTCTTTGAAAGGGGACTGCTGAGCTGCCCTGCCCTGCCCTGCGTGTGAGAAGGGCGGGGGACAGAACCACGTCGGATTCCATGAACTGACCACTCTTCTTTCATGCCTGAACTGCTCAGGCCTTGCTCCTGGGCTCCCTTCCAGGGTTCAGGCAATGTGTGGAGACACGGCAGTGTGCTGGCCCTGGCTCCCACGCAGTCTCATTTCCATCCCATGGAAAAGGGGCCGTCAGGATGACAGAACCTCCCCCGTTTGGAAATGCTCTCCATGCAACTGAGAACCCTGGAAAATTGGGGAGAGCCTCATGGAGAGAGAAGATAAGATGTCCCCCTTCCAAATCCTCTGGAAGAGGGCCACTGACATTCTTGCACATGTACTGAACACTGGATCAGGGCATGGACTGTTTCTATCCGCATCCTGCAAAAATTTTCAGAAATTTAATTCTGCATCATAAATTTGGGGTGTGTACACAGGGCCCTCTCTGCCATGATCGAGGATACAAGTTTCCACCAGGGAAGGTTAGTTTGGCTTTCTGGATCTTGCTTTCTAACATCAGGCCTATTGGCTGACTCGCACTAAATGCTGGTCTTTCTCACTGAGATTAGATTTTCCGTTTTGGTCACTTCTGGAATCTTCTTGCCCAGGTCTCCTTCCAGATGCGCGGCATTAGGTTCTCCAGATGACCTGCCCTGGTGGGTTCTTGGCAAAGTAAAATGGACACGGTTCTGCCCACAGTTAGGACCACTCGAGAGAAGGGGTGGATAGCAGGATGTCAATTATATTTTGATACATTTGCACCTAATTGACTTTATGGCAAAATCAATGTCTAAACGGTGGGTAAGAACCTAGTTTTCTGATAGACTCGGATGGATGCATTGATTTTCCCTTTGGACCAATTAGTGGGAAATTGCGGGTGACTTATCACCTTTCCCCAATTTGCATGCCTGCCATGAACGGCCTGCTCCAGCCGAAGGGCCGGGCCGGCTCTGCAACACCGGCTGGCATCTTGCTTTGGCCTTGTGGGCTTGACGCTTGCGCTGCTTCTGGAAACATGACCTGAGGCTGCTTGGTCCTCTTGACCTACAATCTGTGCCTGTAACTATTTGTTATGGGTGAATTAACATACTTCACGGGGCCCTGGGCTGGAACGGAACAGGAGACTGGACTGTCCTGTCCTGCCCAGTCCACGGATTAGCATATCAGCGTCTATATTTCAAGCTTTGGTGGGTCACCCGTTACCTCTCATTCAATAAAATCTCTTCTTCCTCATTTATTGGACCCCACAATGTCTCGTTCATAAGGGGCTGCCTCAATCCGGTAACGGCGGGAGAAGTAATACTGTGAATGCTTCTTTTATTCATATGTTCTGGCTGTCCAACAGATAGATGCCTCTTTTTGGGAGGAGGTTACAGTATGGGTAAACTTTACGTAAGAACACTTTTTAATATTCACCGATGCTTGTGTTCTTTTGAACAACCTCCTCCCTGGAAGTTAATGCACGGGGAACCTAAGTGGAATTTTTGTGCCCTTTTGACCGCTGAAAGACTAACATTAGAATATTGGAAACACAAATGCTCACTTCCTATAATGTAATGGAGCGAGGCTCTAATGACCCGAGAAAGCTTTTAATGCTTGAATAGATGATATATGGAGGCCTTGGTCGAATCTTATATATAAAAGATAGAGTCAGATCTGTGTAATGACATTTTTTCCTTATTTTTCTTCTGGGTTTTGTCGTCTTGAAACTTGCAGTGAGAAATGTTTAAAAACTGGAGTAGAACACCTGAACAGAGCTTCACCTGAAGCCTGATGCGGCGTTGACTGCCCCCCTTGAACATCACCTGACCTTGGGGTGAGGCTGAGAACCCTCCAGGCCGGGGGACATGGGCTCTTTTGGTCCGAGCTGCCCTGTGTGAGGACAAGGGAGGGTGTGGGCAAGCAGTTACGACTGTGGCACCTGCACTCACCTGCATGGGCCGAGAGAACATGTTGGTCAGCACCTCCTTCCTGGCTTCAGCGTATTTGTCATCTCCAAAGGTTTCGTTCAAGCTTTTCTAGAGAGAAAAGAGAGAGATACTGTAGCCGATGCCAAGCAACATCTTGGAGAATGAGCCAGGAATCCGGAGGCCCTTCATTTAAATCTTGCCGCAGCCATGTATCCACCAGGTGGGCCTTCAGCCGGTGCCCTCGCCTCTGCAGCCCCCCATCAGAAATAAGGGACCGTAATTTCCTCGTGCGTGAGCCTCCGTGAAGGACACACACCCGGGAGACTTGAGTGCTGCTTCGTCTTAAAGGACAAGGGAGGTAGCAAACAAGCAGACAGTGCGTCCTCGCAGGTCTGCACCCAGTGGGGTGAAGGGGAGGAGGCGCCTGTTTCAGACATGTGTGTATTTGATTTGGTCCTCATTTTTCTACCCACGCAAACCGCACGGCACTCAAGGCAACATCCCTGCTCACGTCCCTCTCGTGAGCCTTTCTGCCGACGGCCGTTTCTCTAGGAGCCAGGTCAGATCCTAGGAAGGGACGCGGCCTGGAGACACCAGCCGCCGAAAAGCCCCGCGAGAGGGCGAGCTGCGAGTGCCGCCGCCGCCTGCGCCCAGCCCAAAGCACCCGGGTGCTCACGTGTAGCGCGCCAGCGGAGCTGCAGTCGATGTCCAGGCCCATCTGGCTGCAGAACTCCATGAGGTCGCTGAGCATCTTGGTCTGGGGCGGGGGATGCCGGCGCAGCAGAGCCTTTGTCGGGAAGGAGCGGTAGATCCGATGGGCGACGGCCGTGTTTGCGAGCAGCATAAACTCTTCCACTAGTCTGGGGTGAGAGAGAGGAGAGAGAAGGGCCTGTGAGGAGGAGTGGAGCAGCTCACGCCAAGGAAGCGGCATCGTGGCCTGCGCCATTTGCACAACTGCCGAGCGCCCAGGATGCTTTCCAGGCGATGCTCGGTCCTTAAAAACACTGGAGCGTCTCAGTGTGCGCGTCTTCTCCATCCTTCCCCCTTCTGTGCACAGACTTTCCCTCATTTAGTCACTTCTGCTGTGGCTTGTGAATGTTACTACTTCAGTGCACCCCCAGAGGAAATTCATTTCTACCGTGGCTGGTGACACAAGGCTCAGAAACCGCATCTGGCCGGCCACAGGTGCTTCTTTCCCTGCTAGCCTCCACTGAGCTGCCTCCCCTGGAACTGCTACCGGAGAGGGTGGCACGGGGAATGTGCCGCTGGGGAAAGCTCTGGCCAGGCGAATGGAACTTGCAGTACCCACCCCAGAGCCGCACAGTCCTCACAACACAGGAACCACCCGGCTGATCAGGCCAGGGGCCCCTCCGGCCCAGTGCTTTGCTCATTTGCTGGCCAACCCGCTGCCCACAGGCAGAACTACGAGCCGGGCATGTGTGCGACCCATGTTCCACAGCAACGGGAGCACAGCGGCACGCTGCCTCAAGCGGCGACGGACAGATACAGAGCCATCAGGACTGGCTCCTTGGACAGCCTTCTTTCCATGTGTCTGGCTACCCCCATTTAACGCTGTCCCAGCGCTGGGCTCCTTACAGGCTGCGAGAGGGAATTCCTTCGTAACGACAGCCGTGCAAAGGCTGCTTTACTCTTGTGCCCCCAGACGTCTCCAAACGGCACCGCTCCACGTTCGGAGCCGGCCGGCGCTTGGGTGGAGGGCTGCTTGTTGCTCTTCGGGGGGAGGTACCGACTGGGATGCAACGCTGGGATGGCTCTGGGCTGACAAGAGCCTCTGGGCATCTGTAATGGGGCCCATTCCTACATGTGGACATTGCATCGTGGAGAAAAAGCTCGCGAAACAGCCCTAAATGGGTTTTCAAAAGTTTTGCTGCCTTGCTCTGCATTCTCCTGCTGGAACGTGTTTGGCTGCTGGGGCTTAACACGTTATTTCTCTTTTCCGGCTAACATGTTTGAGGCTCAAGGAGCGGCGACTCCATGCGATTAAACGACCACCAGGTGGCAGCATTGCTCCCTTTATGAAGACAGGTGCAAAGCGGCTTTTGAGCAGCCCCTTCAAGAAGCAGAAAAACCCAAAGCAAACCAAACACACAGCCAGGCGATCCGGCTGCCGTTGTCGCCTGCATTACAGGGCAGAAGCAACCAAAGGTCTGCTGCAAACCCTTTCGGTAAGGAAAGGTCCGTTCGGCTGATATTACTTTGCAAAGTGATGGGTACATTCAGGAAGTCTTCAGGAAAACTTACAAGGATTGCGGCTGTGTGAGGGGGCAGACTGCCTCTCGCAATGATGTTCCACGGGTTGCCCCAGTCCACACGGCAGGGTTCCAGCTGCGCCTTGTTCACACAACAGCAACAGCCAAACATCCTTTAAAAGCACCAAAACCTAGCCCTGCCAATTGCACTCTTGGCACAACTCCCGTCTCTTTTGAGATGGGCAGACATTCAACAGGCAGAGCTTCTCCATGCACAGGGAAAACATGCGCATGCCATGTTCCTACTGGATACTTGGAAGACACAAGAGCCAGGCAGGGGCAGGGAGAGTGACTCTACCAAAATTGCGTCTTGGCGCACCATGGGGCTGATTCGCCTTTGACAGACAATCCTCACCTATTTTCCCTCTCCAACAGGCCCTGTGGCAATTCTCCACTCTCGCTTCCTGTGTCTGATTTGCAAGGTCCTTTCCACTCTTTGAGGCAAGTCACCTCCTCCCCCAACAGAACGAGGCTCAAGGGCGCACGGTGCTCGCGGTGGAACTGAAAGGCCGCAGCCATGGATCTCGGTCTGGCCTCTGCTCCCAGCAGCCTTCTCGGGATGGGAAGGCCGGCACCCACGTCTGTTCTCCAATGGCCAAGCAGATTTAAGAGCAAAGTGGAGACAAGGCGCTTCTCCCCAGGACACGGGTTCCGAACGCAGGACCGGGCGCCATCTGGGTTTCCTCAGACTGCCAGGTCCCCTGTGCCACCTCCCTTCCCCAGCCACCCATCACCGTGGCCCCTGGGCCGCAAGAGACCCCTGCCCCAGCCCCAGCCATGTTCCCGCCTCTGTCTCCCTTGAACCACCTACCTGCCCCACACCATATAGTTCCAGTGGGGTTTTTCTGGCCTGGCCTGGCCTGAGCTCCCACTGTCTCTCTCGTGTCTTTGGGGAAAGAGTGAGGGGGGAGGAGCCAGGCAGGGCCCCCAAGCAGACCACCCCCAAACCAGGGCGGTGGTGGGAAGGAAATGAGCCGGGATATGAGCACGGCTTCCCAGAAGCAGAAAGGGGGGGTCGCCGTTTGGTGGGCCCTGTGCCCTTGATGAGACGGGCAAAGCAGCTCCCTGCTGCAGCCGCCAGAAATACCAGGCGTAATTACATCAGGCATCCTGGCCCTTACTCATCTTCAGGCTCAGAATTTCCTCTCAAAGGATGCAGAATATGTACCTGAATTATACCACCTGGCATCCCGTGTCCACTTCTGGGCACCAAGATTTAAGAAAGATGCAGGTAAATTAGAAAGGGTCCAGAGGAGGCCAACAGAAATGATGCAGGGTTTGGAAGCACTGCCCTGCGAGGAGAGGCTGAGAGAACTGGGCATTTCCCCCTGGGGGGAAAAGGGGGGGGGGGGGGGGCAGGGGATGATACCCCTCTAGAAGTCCCTCAAAGGCTGTCACAAAACGGAAGGTCAAGATCTCTTCTAATGCCAGAGTGTAGGGCATGGAATAATCAATTCAAGTTGCGACAACCAAGATTCAGGGTGGACATCAAGAAAAGCTTCCTCACGGTCAGAGCAACACAACAGTGGAACCAGCTGCCTGGAGAGGTGGGGGGCTCTCCCACACTGGAGACATTCAGAAAGGAACTGGACAGCCCTCTGAGTGGGATGGTGTGACTTGGTGTCCTTCACCAGCAGAGAGTTGGACCCAACGGCCTTCTTGGCCCCTTCCAGCTCTAATACTCTATGGTCCTATGAATTCTCTTCTTCCATTCCGATGCCAAGGGCTTCTTTTGCCAGGTAGGAATTGCCAGTCCTCAGGATGGTGGGGGTGGGGGGGACAGGACCAGGCAAGCCCATTCGTGTTATTATGAATAATACTCAAACTGTCTGTATTGCCCAAGAACCAAAGTTCTCCAGGTAGTTTACAGAAGATCAAAACCTTAGAAAATACAATGTACAAGGTAATTTTGGAAGCCTCATTGACATTCAAACACAATAAGCGATTTCTGCTGAGAGCCCAGTGGCCCATCCCTTTAAGTGCCAGAGGAAGCAGCGAGGGAGCCCTTTCCTGGTTGGGGGAACGTTAACACGGCACTTAAGCAGGTGGGCAGGAAGAACCTGGGCTAGCTGGCCTTGAGAGGGTGGAGGTCAGTGGGGAGCACAGAGCCTGAAGCCTCCGCTACACCGAGAAACTGATTCCTGGCAAGAGCAGGGAGAGAAGCCCAGGCCCTGGGGAATCCTGGGGCACCCTGAGAGGCAGGGGTATTTGAGGCGTGTGGCGGGGCTCCGGAAGGGCCCTGGAGCCCCTCGCAGAGCAGCCCTGCAACCCTGTGATTAGCAGCAGCAGCAGCAGCAGCGAGAGCGGGAGATTAAGTCAGGAAATGCTGCTTTGTGGTTCGGAAAAAGAAATGGATCATAAGGCAAAGCTGGAGCTGCAGCTTGGCTGGCAGCGAAGGGAGGCTGAGCCGGATCCTGGCTCAGCCGTCCGCAGGAGCAGAGGGCCGAAGCGCTCCTGCCTGCTGTCCGCTCCAAGGACAGGAGGGATTTTTGCTGAACGCAGCCGACCTTAGAACTTGGCTTGGCTGCGTCTGGCAGGCCGGAGTGAGAAGAAAAGTATTTCATGGCAGGGGGAAGCAGCGAAAAAAAAAAACAGAGACAGAGAGACTGGGCTGCTTGAAATCGGACTGAATGAATCCCATGTGGGACGCACACGCCGATGCCCTCGCTACACTTCCTCCGCTCCCGCCAAGCCTGCTTGGCTCCCAGCCCTGTGCCAGAGCCCGCAGAGTGGCGAGCCCTGAACTTTTGCCCTGTGGGGTGTCCACACCGGGTTCCCGCGGCGGCTGCGGGAAGAGGTGCGGGCCGGGCAGGTGCCTCCTCCTGCCCCCCGGCTACGTGGAGAGCCGCTTCTGGACAGGCCTGGGGCATCGCGAGGGGAAAAACGGCTCTCACCGCATGGTGAAGGGGAGCGGATGTTTTACAGATTATTTTTGGCTGTTTAGCTGGTTCAACACATGATTGTATTTTGATTGGTTTGGTGCAGTTTTATTACCATATGAGAAGCTCACAATTCTGGTAGAGGGAGGACAGAATAAGATTACACATATATTTCAAACAGAGCTGGGAGCTGCAGTTGCTGTCGCATACCAGATCCGTATAATTAATCAGGATTAATTTATGGGGAAGGATTACAGCTCTGCACTTCAGCACGCTCGGCTCTTCATGCCAAGGACTGTCTTCTTTGGAGGGTATGCCTCAGAGGGGTGGAAAGAAGTCCAACCTTTTCTCCTACCGTGAACGAGAGGCTGGGGGAAGTTTGTGCAAACTCTGGGTGGAATGCATCAGAGGGGCGTCCCAGAACCGACCACCCCAAACAAAGAGCTTTGTCAGGACATGCGTGGGCAAGGCGGCTGTGCGAAGGGACCCACACAACTCCTCTGCCTAAGTTAGAACCGATGTGGCAGCTAAGTGCTGGAAAGAGCACGGGCGATGCAATCATACACAGTCACACTGCGCCTGTGCGATCACAAATGCGCCTCCTACACTTCGAAACTGTGGGGCTACCCTGGCCCCCCAAGGCTTTAGAAATGGTAAAAAAAAAAAAAAAGGCTGGGAGCTGCCAAGCGCATCCCTGCTTCGTTCCAGACC